GAGTGGTAAGTCTAGTAAGCTCATTAGTACTGAATATTTAGGGGAAAAAATGAGTTTGTTTTTCACCAGAAATAATTTTGATTGACGTTGATGTTTAGCCCTAGACGTCTGCTCCAAAACTAACTTGCACTGATCTAAAACACCCCTTTTGGTGCCCCGAACCTGCTCCGAAACTCTTCTTTTACGGCGCCAACGCTCCTCCGAAACGGCATTATTCCTCCTCCCTTAGCTGCTCCAAAACACCCACGTTCACTTCCACTCCTACGTATGCCTTTTCGAGTTTGCAAAGTAGTATATAAGCTACAAATGCTGAATATGTTAGCTTAAGTTTGTAACTTAACAATGTCTTATCAATGGCGTTATTGCGCTGCATTGTCTATCATTCAGTTGCCAGTAGTTTTGTTTTCTTACCTTCAGTTTTGTAATTTGGCGCTGCTAATGATGCACGATAATTCCTGGCATATGAATGCAACTTTTCTTTCGTGTTCATTTGGTTTGAGACGCATATGCCGCCTATTCCATACAACGCTTATTTGCTTAGCACATATTCAGGTCATTTCGCTAGCGAAGATATGCGTCACAGTATTTGTTGCCGTGTTTGGTATAAGTGACCACGTACGTTGCACGCCCTGTAACTGACACTCCATATACTGCACCCTTTTAATGAGAGGAGTACTGATCGCTACTTTTGTGTTGCGTCAGTTATGGTCACGCTCCCTCAGTGACCATTGCTACTTTTTACTTTCTTGTTTCATTTTTTTTTCGCTCGGAATGCACACACGCACACGAGATGGCTTGCGTTGATATCGCTTCACGTAATTCATTCAACACAAGGCACCGTTACTGTTTTTCTTTCAAGCATTCTCCTGTCGGTGGCGCTGTAAAGGCATGCGCGTGTTTTGTTCATTGTTTTTTTAAAGTCAACTTGCTGCTGCGACGTACGTGCGTTGCATCTAAGTACGACTCCGTTATCGCGTGTTTGTTCGTGTGTATACGCGCGCGTGAAGCGTCAGCGCAGGGGAAACGGGCCGTGATGCGGAGACTGACAAGCGAGAGGAAAAACAAGTTCTCGACGCGCTACTTTCGTGCGTTTGTTTTTCGTTCACAATAGCGGCGGTGGTTTTTCTTCGTCCTTCTCGTGTTGTGTGTATGTGTAAACGCGGGCGACGGCGCATAGTAATGCAGCGGGGGCGTCGGTGACTCGTGCAGATCCGTTTTCGCGCCCGACGGCTCTTCGTTATTTAATTACTTGCCGCCGCCGCCCATGTTTTTTTCTGTGATCGTTCGCTCGGTAGTTCGTTCCTGTTCGCCGATCTCGTTTACGCATAAACTTATGCCATTTGTACGCAAGCAAATAAGCGTTAAAAACTGTAGCTGCACACACTTACGGAAAAATAATTTAGACAGGTTATCGGCTTTTGACTGATATGTGGGGTTTAACGTCCCAAAACCACCATATGATTATGAGAGACGCCGTAGTGGGGGGCTCCGAAAATTTCGACCACCTGGGGTTTATTAACGTGCACCCAAATGCAGCCGGGATTCGATCCCGCGACCTGCGGGTCAGCAGCCGAGTACTTTAGCCACTAGACCACCGCTGCGGGGTACAGGCTATCTGCTTTCGAGGGACAAATTTAGATGGTATATAGACTGTTTAAAAAGAGGTTTATACGGTCTGTCGAATGTCTAAAAGTAAACCTGAACAACCTATAGAATATTTAAGAATAAATTTAGATTTATATATAGGCTGCTTGAACTTATTTTTGTTTATGTTGGCCATTCTTACTTTCATCATGCAGTGCCGCTATTCGCGGTAGCCATTTCCCAGAATTGCAAGCACAACAGATAGATATATCTAAGATGACATTCATTATCAGCCTGTTTTAGTCCACTACAGGAGAAAGGTATCTCCCAATGACCTCCAGTACACCCTATAGCGTGCCATATTATTCCATTTTTTATCCCTGCGAACTTCTCAATTTCGTCACAGCATTATCTTCGCCATATGCGATTCGGGAATAAATGGTGACACGTAACTTATGTGGATGCGTCAGATGCGTTGCCCTGTTTCATAATACTGCAGTGCTCGTCCGCCACAGTGGTGTAGTGGTTAGGTATTCAGCTTCTGGCCCGAAGGTCGCGGGTTCGGCCGCGGCGGTAGCATTTTGAAGGGAGCGAAATGCTGGAGGTCTGTGTTACTGTATGGGCACATATCAAAGGGTTTGTTGCATAGTTCCGACACACGTGATGTCTGTACTAAAGTACGACACCATGCTGTTGAAAACGTATTAATAGCAGTTGAGGGGGGGAGGGAGAGAGAGCAAACAAAAGGCGCATGTGCCACCAGCACGTGCCGAGCAGTTCAATAGGGACTGATGTCGTTTTACAACAGGGCCCATAAACCACACCGAACTTAAAGGCGAGAGAATACTTTATTTCTCGCCTCCGCTACCCTTCCTACAAGCAACTCCTCCTCCGCACCATTTATTTATTCATAAAACACGTTCAGTCAGTCAGGATGTCGCATTTCTGTATGCGAGAGAATCTTACGCTCGTGGCAGTGTCCGCTCTGCGGCGTCTGCACCCATAATGCGTATGCGCAACACACCCTCATTCTCCTCTCGAACGTAGGTGGGCGCTTTCCCCCTCATCTCTACTCTCTCCGCCACAAGTACGGCACAGCAAATAATTGCATATAACTCTCTCTCTCTCTCTAGGAATGCGTCGGTAGGCGGCGCAAGTGTCGTGGCGCAGGGTAGACACGGTATGCAGTGCGTGTGGTGAGGAAGAAGAAACTGCCGAACACTTGATAATGTTCTGTAAAGGGCTTCACCCTATAGTTCAGGATGATGGCGCAGAGTTTTTCAAAGCACTGTGGTTTAGGGACAGGGAGGGCACAATAGACTTGAAGTGGGTAGAATTAACTAGAAGGAGGTTATCTGATTGGTGGCTAAAGTCAAGGCACGAGTGAAAATTGAACCCTTCGCTGCAAAGTACGAATCCTCAACCTCACTGTTTAAAGGGAAACAAAATAAATCTAGTTTTTGGTTCATTAAGGATTACGGCTTGCCCGGCCACGGTGGTCTAGTGGCTAAGGTACTCGGCTGCTGACCTGCAGGTCGCGGGTTCGAATCCCGGCTGTGGCGGCTGCATTTCCGATGGAGGCGGAAATGTTGTAGGCCCGTGTACTCAGATTTGGGTGCACGTTAAAGAACCCCAGGTGGTCAAAATTTCCGGAGCCCTCCACTACTGCGTCTCTCATAATCAAATGGTGGTTTTGGGACGTTAAACCCCACATATCAATCAAGTATTACGGCTTGGTGGCGCTGCTAGCCACCGCCCGATCTAAAGGGTACAGCCATATCCATCCATCCATTCAGTGTAAAGCGCGCGTTCCCTGTGCTTCCGTCATTCTATCTCTGCAACGGTGTGCGAAACGCCATGAAAAACGTCAACGTCGGCGCTAGTTGCAGAGGCAACGCAGTCGCCGCGGAGCAGAGAAAGGTTAGGGAAGCCGACCGTAAACGTCAGCGTCGGCAAGCGCACCCCGAACATCGGGGCTGGGAAGTCGAACGTCAACGTCGGCAGGAAACTTCTACAGAAGCAACTTGGGCTCGGCGGGCCGAAGTGGAATGTCAGCGTTATCAAGCCGTCCCCGAACTTTGGCTCGGAAAGTGGAGGCGTAACGGCAGCTCTCGATTCAGATGCGACGAGGCAACGCGAGTCTGCGGCCAGAGCCGTCGTCGACCACAAAGCCCCCGCGATGCTTTCGCATCCCACCATGGTTGCCCGTAGGCAGAGAGGGTGTAATTTTTAAAGACGATAATCTTTCTTGGGGACCTTCGACGCAAATATTTTGGTCTGTTTGTACATTTCTCTGTTTGTCCACTCTTAACGACACCGGGTACTTGAAACGGCCGACCCCATCCGCAGCGCCCACCAATGTTGCTCAAGATTTAGCGTTCATACTTGTGCAATTGTCAATGACAAAGTCATTATTGCAATGTCTGGGGCACCATAACAACACGTATATAATCTGTATGTGCGTCTTTTACTAGAAAAGGCATAAATATGTAATTTTAAGGACCGTAGCGCTTATAACGCTGCGCTGACCATGCAACGCTTGCACGAAAAGGCGAGTGTTTCCAACGCTTTGCTAAGACGAGACGGTGGTGGCACTTACCCGTCGCCTTGCATTCTACACCTTACCACCTCTAAGACGGGCGCGCACACCCGTCTCAGAGCCACGCGCTTCGTTTTCCAAGAAAACTGCCAGATGGCGCTCATGTCTCACTTGTGATGTGACTTGATGCGCTCGTTCACCTCCACTGTAACGCAGCGCCTCCAGAATACCATTCGCCGATTTTCCTGCGCAGAACATCAAATAAATGTTTTGTTCACTCTCTCCACACTCAAGACTATCGTCCTTCGACGACATTTGCAGATTAACATGCAGATACGGGGCCAATTTTTTACACGCTGCTGTCTGCGCTTGCGCAGTCGCAAATGTGGCAAACGAAGAGAAATCGGTTTATCGTGCACGACGGTAAAGTAAGGTAGGAATCCTGACGCCATGTGAACGAACCACTGACGCCAGGAATGTGGCTGCAAAGACGGAAAATGCCGGGAGAGAACATGCTCGTTTTTTTTGTTTTTTTTTTGCATTTAAGAGGTTGTTTAGGGGCCCTTTAAAAAATACCAGCAGATGTCTGAAATTTTCTGAGCCTTCCACTTCGGCGTTGCTCATAATCATATACTGGTCTGGAGCGTTAAAACCCAATACTGTTATTTTCGTCACAGCATTATCTTCAGAAAGTACAATCTAGAGATAAGTGCTGACATGTAATCCATGTGGAAACGTCAGACGCGCTGCAAGATTTCACAATACGGTATTTCTTGGTGCGCACGGTGGTACGTAAGCGTACGTGACACGCGGCAGCAGCCGTGATTAACGCCTGCGGTATACAAAGTGTGTGCGTTGTGGTTGTGCCCTGTTGCAGTGCCGGTGAGCGTGGAAGTTGAGCAGAGCGTGGTCGAGGCGACGGTCAACTCGTCGGTTACGCTGTCATGTCTTGCCACGGGTCACCCCAAGGTCACCACGCTTCTCTGGTCGCGTGCCTCGGACGACGACGAACAGGACGACCCGGCGGCGGCCACCGGCAACTCCACCAGCTCAGAGGACGCTACCTTTGGCAGCCGCTTGATCGACAGCACAAACGTCACACAGGTGAGGAAGGGGGAGGTCGTGCACGCGCATCGCGAGATTTTCGATTTTGTCTCGCGAAAATATTGACGAAGATAGCTTTCATCATTATTAAGATACTTAATAGCTCGTGAGACGGGTACGCCCCCCCCCCCCCCCGAAATGAAAGCATTGAAAGCTATTATTGCTCCGCGTCTCGTCAGAAATACCCCAGTCTTCAAAAATGTCCCGCATTTCACGCTATATTTTCATTGTTCGGCAGCGCATTGAATTCAGCTGCATCAAGTAGCTCAGCTTAGTTCACCTTCTTTTCCTCTGCACATCGATTTTTGTAACGTTGTTGTTGTTTTTATGGTATTTTAATATTCTGGCTAGACGCAAGTTGGCCGCGCCCTCTTGTTTTTGGTAGCTATTAAAAAAACGGCTAGCTACACTCTAAAGGCGCGTTCACACTTGGCCTCGAAAAGAGCGAAACTCTCCGGAAACTGGCTCGTTTCGCCGCCTAAGCGGCCGGAAAACCATGCCGTGCATTCGGCGCGCAAGAATCGCTCCGAGACCGATTTTCCCGCCACGCCAAACCGGATCCGGTTTCCGCTTCACAGCCTTGGCTGCGCTAGATCAAACCACGTGACCTAACCAGACGGTCGAGATTCAACATGGCGGCACTAGCGTTGGCGGTGGCTCGCATCGGCTCAAATCGCAAACTACCCGTGCAGCACGATGATGCTTTTGATGGCCTCAACGAGGACGCGTTCATCGAGAGCCTGACTTGGATTGCGATCGTCGACAACTCTGAAAGTAGACGGGGCAGCGGCAGCGAGTCAGCAGGTCCTAACATGTCTCGCTCTTGTGTACAGCAGGTTGAAGCTGCGCCGCCGCTGCCGGTGAGTTCGCTTGTGTCGTTCCTGCTGGCGTATCTTCCGAAACAGCGTTTGAAAAGGTGCGAGCTGTTTCTACTCACTGTTTTGTGTCAATAACTATAATAAGAACTTTAATTCTCAGAAAGCAGGCAAAATCGAATTGTCAAGGTAGCGATGGCAGTGGCGGTAGGATGGGGCAGAACGAATGCGAACATCTCCGATGCGCGTGGCTGTGGTTTTCCCGCCGCTCTGGCGTTTTCGTTTTAGATGCGGAAGCATCTTATACTCGCGCCTTGTAGTGCGCCGTCCGCGCCGTCCGCACCGCTTCTCGAACATTCGACAGCTGACGCGCGCGCATGCGCCGTCGCGCCGTCGCCCACTCTTCCACCATCTGTGCATCCCTTCCTCCTCTACACACCGCGCGCGCTTCACTCCTCCACCATCTGTGCACCCTTCCTCCTCTACACACCGCGTTCGACATCTACAATTCTCCTGATTCTCCAGTGGACGCGCATGTGGCGTCGCGCTTCGAGAACATTCAACAGCTGACAGTGCATGCGCCGTCGTGCTGTATATATACTCAAGGTCGGCGCTCGCTCGCTCAGTTGCCGCTCGTCGGTTGGTTTGTACGGCGCGTCGACGTCCAAGGTCGCGGTGAAATGAATTCCAACGAATCCACAAACACAATGATCGACGTCCCTTCGACCAGCGCCGCCCTTTCGCATACGTGTGTACGTGTTCACTCATTTAACACCCCCTCCTACAACCACGTTAACCAATTTAGCCATCGACCCAAGTAAGTCGCAATTTAACACCCCATTTCACAACCACGTTAACCAATTTAGCCATCGACCCAAGTAAGTCGCACTTTAACACCCCGTTAACCAATTATATGCTCCGCATCCTCCTCAGTGTTCCCCCGAGGGAAGCTGCGGGCAATTTTTTTTTCTTCACGTGCTACGTATACGGCTCTCCAAAGAGACACGTTGACTCCCTTGTGGACCCGAAGACTCTCAGAAGGGAGTATAGTGACCTCCTTAAGAGAGGACTCTTTTCTGGTTTTCTTGTGTGTGTGTGTGTGTGTGTGTGTGTGTGTGTGTGTGTGTGTGTGTGTGTGTGTGTGTGTGTGTGTGTGTGCGCGCAGCGTGCCGCGTAGCATCATTCAAAGACTGCGTATGTTTAAAAATGAACGTGTCCTTTCGTCTTGTTCTTTTGCACAGGTGTCCGAGGTCCAATACCGGGCGCAGCTGACGCTTGAGTCCCTCCAGAGGCGGGACAATGGCACATACGTCTGCTACGCGGGCAACGAGTACAACATGACCATGGCGGTGCAGGATGTACTCGTACTTGGTCCGTATACTCTGGCATATATTCGCGGACTTTGTTCACTACAGTCCGTTACTGCCTGGGAACATAAGCGTGCGCAGAATTTGTCGCAGATCACAATGTATGGGGCAGACCTCGCGCCCTCCTCCTATCTTTGGCCACATTAGAGCGCGTGCTACGATGTAATTATACCACCGTTGTTTTCGCTATGCACGCAGCGAAATGCTTCTGCAAACTCTTGTCGGACGCGGCAGACATCACGTTTGGAAGTCGAGCTGAATTCGGAGCGCTGGCTTTCCGTACACAGAACGCCAACCGCAAAGGCTTCATAGTTCCCGCAAACATTCTGTTGGGCTTCGCCTCACGGGAAATTATGTTGCGGCAGAGCACTCTTTGCAGGGGCTGTAATGGCGGTCAGTGCGAACATGTGAGAAAGGCCCGACTGGGCTGGGCTCCCAGGGCACACCGGTTGACATTCCCCAAATACCACCACCCCGGCAAGGTTCGTGGCCCATAAGGCCCTCGGTTCCGGTCGCGTAGCAGAAACAGTCTCTCCTGGCTGCTCAAATCCGGCAAACACGCTCGTCTGCAGGGGAAAAATCGTGGCGTGGGACAAGGTTGTTAGGGAAGGTTAGTTGCTCCTCCCTGATAGAAGGAATGTGGTACTACAAGAATGGCTGGAAACGGAAGCAAAATATATTGCAGGGCGTGCTATGCCGTCGAGAAAACGACCTCTTGACGTAAATGCGTTCGTCGCTGCCGCCCTCGCATGCATTCCATTCCGGCGGGTGCTTTGGCATCTCCTTCCCGTATCAAGGCAGAGGGAAAACGACTAGACTACGCCGTGCATTGGAAAGGGGAGCAACAACGTAATGTGACCTTCTCGCAATGCAGCGTGAAGGGGCAAAAAATAACTTTCTTTCCAGACCGTACGTTTTGTTACGTCTGCCTGCTGACACATAACTCGGGGAACTGTTTCGAAACGGCACGATCGTCAAGCGCCTCAATTCGAGTGCCTCCACTTTTTTTTTTTTGTGAAAATCTGTGTCTCGGTATGTACTTGATGAAAGTACAGGATACTTTTCTCATTTGTTAACTATTTAAATTTCATAGATTATGCTTCTATCAAAAGATTCTGTGCAGTGTCACAGACACAATGACCTGGCAACCAACATTGAATGGTGCGGGGATGTGGTTTTAGCTAGCACTTAACTATTGTTGCGACACGCAATTTGTTTTTATTGCTGGTTTTTTTCCTGTGACTTTGTACCTCATTAACTTTTGTGTGCATGCATTGTGTTTTGCAATCACTCGCATTTCGATGTGCCACCTGATGCCCTTCTAAAAAAGTAAAACTAAATTTATTCCCCGTTATCACCATTGATTAATAGGCATAAGGTATGCGATGTAAGAAGGTATAACATGGAGAGAATTGAACACGCTCTGAAAAATGGAGGAAGCGTCAAAGCAGGGAAGAGGAAACTTGGGATAGGCAAAAATCAGATGTATGCACTAAGGGACAAAGAAGGCAAAATAACTACCAATATGGATAGGTAGTTAAAATAGCAGAGGAGTTTTACAAAGATCTGTACAGTAGCCGGTACAACCACGAACTCTAATACTATAAGAGCTAGCAGTAACCCAGATGATACCCCACCAGTAATGATAGAAGTCAGAAAAGCTTTGGAGAGCATGCAAAGAGGCAAGTCTGCTGGTGAGGATCAGGTAACATCAGATCTGCTGAAAAATGGAGGACATATTGTGTTAGAAAAACTAGCCACCCTATTTACGAGATGTCTCCTGACGGGAAAAGTACCAGAGTCTTGGAAGAACGCTAACATCATCTTAATACATAAGAAAGGAGATGATAAGGACTTGAAGAATTACAGGCCGATCAGCTTGCTCTCTGTAGTATACAAGCTATTTACAAAGGTAATTGCTAACAGAGTAAACAAAACAATAGAATTCAATCAACCAAAGGAACAAGCAGGATTTCGAACAGGCTACTCAACAATCGACCACATTCATACTATCAATCGGGTAATAGAGAAATGCTCAGAATATAACCAACCATTATACATAGCCTTCATAGATTACGAGAAGGCGTTTGATTCAGTAGAAATATCAGCCGTCATGCAGGCACTGCGGAATCAGGGCGTAGATCAAGTATATATAAACATTCTGGAAGAAATCAATAGGGGATCAACTGCTACCATAGTGCTTCATAAAGAAAGCAACAGAATACCAATCAAGAAGGGTGTAAGGTAGGGGGACACAATCTCCCCAATGCTATTTACTGCGTGCTTACAGGAGGTTTTCAGAAGCCTAGAATGGGAACAGTTAGGGATAAGAGTTAATGGAGAGTACCTTAGTAACCTGCACTTTGCCGATGACATTGCATTGCTGAGTAACTCAGGGGAGGAATTGCAACTCATGATTACGGAGTTAGACAGGGAGAGCAGAAAGGTGGGTCTTAAAATTAATCTGCAGCAAACGAAAGTAATGTACAACAACCTCGGAGAAGAGCAGCGCTTCGAGATAGGTAATAGTGCACTTCAAGTTGTAAAAGACTATGTCTACTTAGGGCAGGTAATAACCACGGAGCCAAACCACGAGATTGAAATAACTAGAAGAATAAGAATAGGGTGGAGCACATTTGGCAAGCACTCTCAAATTATGACAGGTAGATTGCCAATATCCCTCAAGAGGAAGGTATATAACAGCTGTATCTTGCTGGTACTTAGCTACGGAGCAGAAACCTGGAGACTTACAAAGAAAGTTCAGCTTAAACTGAGGACCACGCAGCGAGCAATGGAAAGAAAAATGGTAGGTGTAACCTTAAGAGACAAGAAGAGAGCAGAGTGGATTAGGGAACAAACGGGGGTTAAGGATATCATAGCTGAAATCAAGAAGAGGAAATGGACATGGGCTGGGCATGTAGCACGTAGACAGGTTAACCGCTGGTCATTAAGGGTAACTGACTGGATTCTCAGAGAAGGCAAGCGGGTTAGGGGGAGACAGAAGGTTAGGTGGGCAGATGAGATTAAGATGTTTGCGGGTATAAATTGGCAGCAGCAAGCACAGGACCGGGTTAACTGGCGGAACATGAGGGAGGCCTTTGTCCTGCAGTGGACGTAGTCAGGCTGATTATGATGATAATGATCACCATTTACAGAGCCCCCAGAGGTGAACCTGTCATCACTGAAGGCCGAGGACGCACGCACAGCAAAGCTCAGCTGGCATGTGCGCCACTCGGGCAACCAGCCCGTATCGCGCTACCACCTCCAGGTGCGCAACTACTCCACCGAAGCCGACTGGCTGGACGTGCACAATGCAGTGCCACCGAACATGACCTCTTATCTTGTCCACTACCTGGCACCCGGTGCCACCTACGGTTTCCGCCTTGCTGCTGTCAACTCGGTCGGTAACGGACCCTGGGAGCAACGAAACATCACTATGCCACCGGATGGTATGCATCCTGGTTCACAGGTTTTCTCAAGCTTAGGGATATTTTTAAGAAAACTGCGGTCTCGCATGTGTGTTGAAAAATTCATGTATCCTTATCCACTTTCTCAGGCACGTATGAGGCCTAAATAGCTGTAAACAAATTTTAAATGGTAAGTTACTTAGGCAAAATGCTTGTTTGCATGAAGGTGTGTGTGTGCGTGCTTGCATGAGTGTTTGTGTGGGTGTACAGAAAGCGAGGTATGTGGCTGGGTAACAGAAGGCTGATACATAGACATAACCTGCAAAGAAATTTTTGTACAGTATATATATACTTATACTGATTCCCCTACATTAATAGACTTCTCTTTGAGCAGTTTTGTAGGTAGAACTTCTATATCCCAGGAAACAAAATTTGAGAATAACTCTATAAAGACACCCACCACAGTGGTCTGTGGTTAGTGCTAGAATGTAAATCCATAGCTCGCAGGTCGAATGCTGGCCATGGCGGCTGCATTTCGATGGTGGTGAATTGCTATAAAACCGTGTACTTAGATTTAGGTACACCGTAAAGAACACCAGGTAGTCAAAATTTTCTTTCACAGCCCTCCACTACGACATCCATCGTAATAATATGCTGGTTTTGGCACGTAAAACCCTAACAGTTATTATTATTATTATTATTATTATTATTATTATTATTATTATTATTATTATTATTATTATTATTATTATTAGTCTGTAAAGATGTTCATGAAATTACTACGTCTTTAAGCACATATCTAATATTTTATCTGAAAAGCACTTTTGTAAGAGAAAATCACAAGTTATGCTGTTGCACAGAAAACGAGTTTCACTCCCACTTTTCTGACTATATTCTTCAGGTTACGCAGCATCTTGTGAACATGCAATATTGTCTTTATAATGGGATTCATGTTTTATAATGGGATCCATAATATCTTACTGTTGAAATTAAGCCGCTATGGAATTCGTGGAATAGTCTCTGATTTATTTAAAAGCTATTTATCATCCAGACAACAATTTGTTAGCATAGACAGTAAAAAGTCAGACTATTTAAGCGTAAAGAAAGGAGCTCCGCAGGGGTCCATTTTAGGCCCCGTGCCTTTCCTTTTATATATAAATGATATTACAGAGGTTCAGTATACACCCGAAATTAAAATGTTCGCTGACGACACAAGTATATTTTTCACAGGCTCCACCATTCAGGAAGTAGAAGCTTCGACAAATGTATATCTCTCGAAACTTTCAGGCTGGCTAACAAAAAACAAACTAAAATAAACACACAAAAACAAAATTTATTATGTTCAGGCCCATTAACAAGCACATCAGTGATAATATAGTAATCTTGTTTGACAATCAGCGACTCGAACAAGTCAGCACACAAAAATTCCTTGGAGTCTGGTTTCATGAGCACTTAACATGGACACCGCACGTAAATAGTCTCTTGGTAGATCTAGCTCGTTCTGTAGGGTGCTTGAGTAAAATTGCTTTCCTCCTCCCTTCATGGTTATGTAAATCATTATATTATAGCATGTTTTACTCCAAACTTCTATACGGATGCTTGTATGGGGAACAACAACTAAGACCAATTACGATCGAATATTAATCTTGCAAAAGCGCGCTCCGTGTAATAGAAAAATATAAAGGGTCACCCCAAGGACTTAGACACTCAGCCGCTTTTTCTTAAACATGGAATTCTATCTGCTAGGAAAGTATATAATCTTAAACTGATGCAACACATCCACAAAACATAAACTACAGGATTCCTTTCCACGCACTGTATCAACAACATATGGCTTCAGAAATTCTACCCGCAAACTAAGAAAACCGCACGAACTATGGCAAGCAGGACTATTGATTATAAGATCATACAATTGCTAACCTTCACGAAGCGAATATAGACTTTACTCTGAAACTAACAATTAAATGTCATCATAAATCCTTCTTCTTTTGACTAAAGACATAGTAGATCCTAGCTGTTATATTTAGAATACTTGTATACTGATTTGAGTTGTTTTCTTCTTACGGTAACAATGATACTTAGAGAAGGCAAGCGGGTTAGGGGGAGACAGAAGGTTAGTTGGGCAGATGAGATTAAGAAGTTTGCAGGTATAAACTGGCAGCAGCAAGCACAGGACCGGGTTAACTGGTGGAACATGAAATAGGCCTTTGTCCTGCAGTGGACGTAGTCAGGCTGATGATGATGATGATGATGATGATGATGATGATGATCACCATTTACAGAGCCCCCAGAGGTGAACCTGTCATCACTGAAGGCCGAGGACGCACGCACAGCAAAGCTCAGCTGGCATGTGCGCCACTCGGGCAACCAGCCCGTATCGCGCTACCACCTCCAGGTGCGCAACTACTCCACCGAAGCCGACTGGCTGGACGTGCACAATGCAGTGCCACCGAACATGACCTCTTACCTTGTCCACTACCTGGCACCCGGTGCCACCTACGGTTTCCGCCTTGCGGCTGTCAACTCGGTCGGTAACGGACCCTGGGAGCAACGAAACATCACTATGCCACCGGATGGTATGCATCCTGGTTCACAGGTTTTCTCAAGCTTACGCATATTTTTCAGAAAACTGTGGTCTCGCATGTGTGTTGAAAAATTCATGTATCCTTATCCACTTTCTCAGGCTTGTATGAGGCCTAAATAGCTGTAAACAAATTTTAAATGGTAAGTTACTTAGGCAAAATGCGTGTTTGCACGAAGGTGTGTGTGTGCATGCTTGCGTGAGTGTTTGTGTGGGTGTACACAGAAAGCGAGGTATGTGGCTGGGTAACAGAAGGCTGATACATAGACATAACCTGCAAAGAAATTTTTGTACAGTTTCTATATACCCATACTGATTCCCCTGCATAAATAGACTTCTCTTTGAACAGTTTTGTAGGTAGAACTTCTATATCCCAGGAAACAAAATTTGAGAATAACTCTATAAAGACACTCACCACAGTGGTCTAGTGGTTAGTGCTAGAATGTAAATTCATAGCTCACAGGTCCAATGATGGCCATGGCAGCTGCATTTCGATGGTGGTGAATTGCTATAAAACCGTGTACTTAGATTTAGGTGCACGGTAAAGAACACCAGGTGGTCAAAATTTTCTTTCACAGCCCTCCACTACGACATCCATCGTAATAATATGCTGGTTTTGGCACGTAAAACACTAACAGTTATTATTATATTATTATTATTATTATTATTATTATTATTATTATTATTATTATTATTATTATTATTATTATTATTATTATTATTATTATTATTATTATTATTATTATTATTATTAGTCTGTAAAGATGTTCATGAAATTACTATGTCTTTAAGGACATAGCTAATATTTTGTTATCTGAAAAGCACTTTTGTAAGAGAAAATCACAAGTTATGCTGTTGCACAGAAAACGAGTTTCACTCCCACTTTTCTGAATATATTGTTCAGGTTACGCAATATCTTGTGAACATGCAATATTGTCTTTATAATGGGATTCATGTTTTTAACTAATGAGCTCAATGTCAAAGTGAGTTTCCAAGCAGAGTTTTTTAGCTCATTCAGCAGTGTTTGTGCCTCACTTGTTAGAACAGCTCTTAGATATTCAGCCTGTATAATATCTTAATAAAGTGGTTTCGAAAGCTACATGTGATGCTGTGCACATGACTGTCAATTTTTTGGTATGAACCGCATGTCTAATCATTCAAAGCTAATGCGCTCGGCTGTCATTTCTTTTTAATCCATCCAGTTCCACCAAAAATCAACCAGGTGCATCTGTTGGCGACAACTAATGAGACCCTGGTGTTTGCATGGCGAAGGCCTAGTCATGATAATGGCGCAAACATCAGCCAGTACCAGTTGGAGCTCTTTCGTCCAGGCCAAGTCCACCGCAACCAGACAACACTCTCAGCCGAGCCACAGAACAGGCTGAAGCACATGTATGTCTATGTAAGCCTCACACCAGGAGAACAGTACATCTTTCAGGTGAGTGAACGCCTCTTTTATTCCGTAACTGTTACACACCTACTTTTTCTACTGGGAGTCAACATAAGCACCTCTATATCTGGGCACTGATCATAATGCTGCTATTACTGCAATTTCTTTGGCGTGACGAAATGTTGATTCCTTTTAGCGATACATTCTATCATTACAACACAATATGCCTTCTCAACTTGGGCAGATAGGCAACGCCAATTCAAACTCTTGCATGGACATCAAGTGGGGGAGTGGGTAAAAAGGCGTGCATGACCCCCCCCCCCCCCCAAACCACACCAACACCCATTCATGACCCTATGTCCACCAGCAATATTTCCGTCCACCACCGCAATGTAACACAGGGTTTGCATTTGCGACCACCTAGACAAAATCATGCTGACATCTATTTCAACAGCAACATAGTTACCAAGACAAAAGTTTGCATGCTTACGTTCAGCAATGACAAGACTAGAGCATACCAATGCTGGCATATACACCAGATAGCAAAGTGTTGCCTCTTTTCCTTGTGCTTAAGCTCAAGCACTTCCGCAACCTTGAGCTTTATGCAAGAGGTGACAGGGCTTCCAAGTGAAAAAGGTTGGATGGATACGAATCTTGTTATTCATTGGCTTGATTGTGTGTGGCATGAGAGGTGAAATGCCAGCCTAGTGCTAGACTCCATGCTTTCAAGTGCCACCTAGACCAGCATGTCATGGACAAACTTGCTGATTGCCACATGGACTAAGTGATGATTTAAACTCGGTGGTAACACTGGATCGCATGAAATCTCCAATACAGTCTCTAGACCTGTGCATAAATAGGTCCTGGAAAGACTGCACGCAGACGCCAAATTATAGTGTCTTATGAATGGACGCAACATGTTCACAGCTGGCTACAGTACCTATCTATCATGCAAATGACAAGATGAGTGCATGAAGCTTGGCGTGGAACTCGAATAAAAAGTGAGGTCATTAGGGCACTTAATAATGCAAAACCTCCAATGTTGTGAATGAAACATAGGATGAAATGGGTGCTGTGACCCGACTATGATAAAGACCTGTCCGGGAGTGACAGAAATTGAATAAATGGGCTTATTTTATGCTGAAAATGTTTCCCTTTGTCATCATTTGCAGGAACTGCATGCATGTTAGTATTGACTTTCATTTATTTTTTTCTGTTAGGATTATCGATTGTGCTTTTTAGAATTGGGGTGTGTTTAGTAAAAACTGGTGCTTGTCAATTTTAATATACATGTAAATCTGGATGAGGCACAGCTGCTCAGTAGTAAGAAAAGGTAGACAGGATGTTGTGGGGTAACATTAAACAATAATGCTGGCCTTTTGATAAAAGGCAATAGAATTTTTTTATCCAATTTCTTTAGCGATGCACTAAGCTGGTGAGCTAATGTCATTGGTACCGATTGTATAAATAGAATTGTGTTAAAACTTTTTTTTGTCATACTATTTCTTTTTACTATTGCAGTAAGTGCACTGTTACTACTCACAAAATTGCTACCACTACACTTGCTTTTAGGCCCAACAGCATGCACACGATTTTCTAGCGACTATCGACAAGATTTGCTGTCATGGAGGCCCATCTGCTGCCGCCGCTTGTCTTGTCGCCCGTTTCTGGGAAACTTGAAATGATCGCTTGTCGCCGCAAGCCAGTGTGGCGATTTCTGGCAACACGGCTAGTCCCTGATCCTCGCTTCGGTAGTAATTTGCTCTCGATGCTTGTAATCTGCGCATGCTTCAAGGAATGCAAGGTGTCGACTACCTTTTTTACATTTGCATCTCACTCGGAGAGTGAGAGAGCAGCTGTATTTTATTGTGAATCTCATTATTGAAGGTTTGTTTATATGTTTCGACGGTAGCTTGTGACAACTTGGTTGCTTGCTGCTTTGTAAAATCGTCATGCAAAGTGCGTCGTAGCCACCATAGCGTACTATGCTTCTGGGCACCCTGTCGCGGTGAAATCAAATATTACGAAAAAAGGTCATGAAATGCTTCTGTGGCTTCCTTATGCTACACAAGACAGCAATAAATTTGGCATGTTATCATCGAGCTACCTTTTTAAACTTCTTTTCGCAGTTTGTGGGCATGCACGCGTTAGCTTGCTATCTACCAACACTGACACTTTGTTGCCGACATGTGGTTGCAGCCGTCACGATGGTGCAAGTTTGTCGTTGACGCTTGTCATTGTCGTTAGAAAATCCTGTGCATGCGGTTGGGCCTTGAGTGCTGAAACTAAGACATAATCTTTTGAAGTTACCTACATGTGACCATCACTCTATGACAGTGCCCAGTGATTTTAACTGAAAACATACAATTGGCCTCTCTCCTGAAAAATGAATTGTGAACATATTTTCATGAGCACATGATTTTCTTTCTATCTTTCACACTCTATGCAGCCTGATGTTGTCAATGACCAGTGAAAATATTTTGTGCACCTCCTTTGGCAGACTTCCAATTAGCATAATGGCTTATCAATTACTTATACTTGTCTTGAGCTTTCGTCATTTGTCTGATTTTTATATATACTTCTTATGTGGCCTAAAATGATTAGTATGACCTTTTGTCTAACGAAGATCCCAAGGTCATATTTTTTCTTTTTATAAGAAATATTTAGCAAATTAACTTACTAGCACTTCTGACCTGCATATAATTTTGACAATACTATGCATCTAAATGCAAGTATTAAAGATTAGTACATTACTATGGTTTACCTGTTTCAGATGCGTGCTTGCAACATCATTGGCTGTGGAAATTGGTCCGAGCAACTGGACGTGAGCACAGCTGACGGAAGTAAACAGATCTTGAAGTTCTTTTGCGTTCATTCACATCTCTCAGGAAATGTGATAGCTGCATTGCAGCAGCTTCTGCATGATACTAAGAAATATCTCTATGCACTACTGAAGACATTTAGCTCTGTTGCAGAAAAGTTCTCTGCCAAGCTAATTTTCATTCTTCTTAGCTAGCATTACCTCACAATTAGACTATGGATTCCTCCCCTCTGACACACACTTCTCGTTCAGCATTAAGCGATAAACAAGAATACATTTTGGTCATTTCACTTCGAAATACATCATTGATAATGGCTTAAGTGCTTGCTATTAAATGTCTGACAAAATTCGTAGCTTCCATTTACAAGAACTGCAAATATGGGTGCAAAGGAAACGAGGAGTGCAAAACAAAGAAAAGGCACATCAACCACAGCATATCACTGAATATTACTGCACTGCAGCATCTCTGATGATAGGATAGCTGATACGGCCACAAGAAATGCAGAGATTGGTGATATGGTTTTTCGACCAAAGTGGAGGAGCAGACTATACTGCATTTTAAATGCAACATCATTCAATATACGTCGAAAGGTGCTATAAAGTTTTGAGTTTGGATATAGTGGCAACTCAATCTCATTCCACTTTCATTCTAATAACTTCTCATAAATACTCAAATATCATGATCTCAGCATTGTGTGAAGTTTGCAAGTTTACAATCTATGACAATAGAAAACATGGAAAGTCACTTGGCTATCAGTCCACTGCATGCAATGCACAGAGCTGGTAACATTTTCCGACTCGCCAAAATGTGATGATAGCAGTGGAATCAGTTGTAAGACTATTCCGTGCTTCACATTGTTCACTTGGTGCTTCTTCAAAGCTGCTAAACACTCCACCACAGTGGTGTAGGGGTTATGTTGCTTGGCTGCTTACTCTATGGAGGTGAAACGCCAGAGCCACATGTACTGTGCAATGTCGGTGCATGTAAAAGAACGCCAGATGGTGGGAATTTCTAAAGCTCACCATTGCGGTGTCCCTGATAATCACATTGTAGTTTTGGAATATAAAGCCCCACATATTATGAGGGCTATTGAATGTGGCTGAGAGCATTTGATGCAGAACAGGGCTTCTTGGCAGCACTTCAGGTAACATCAAGGAGAGTGGGGGGCTTAACGAATGGAGATTTTCATACCACCGCCTCTTAAAAGGAAATTGTTTGGCCGCAAGTTTTCGTATTTTCTAACGGACATGCCGCTTATAGTCATTCCCCAAGCACACGTGCGCCCTAAAAAGTGCACATGCGCCCTAAAAACAGACTTCATGAGCATGATCTACGAAAATGGTTCACAATACCCCTAAACATCTCGGTAAATGTTCACACTCCTCACTCATTACTGCCAGAAGCGATGGAATTCGACATTCGTATCCTTTGCAGCATCAGTTGTATCAATTGTTGACACAATGTGACCACAACATAGTGAATCTTGCATAAACATTGTGTCAATGTTATGGCAACAATGTGTACTGCTTGTGCATTGGTTGAAAGTAACCTGGCTTCAACATTCCATTGCCATCATCTGGTGGTTGTACTATATTGTAGATGTCGTGAAGAGATCTGCTCTGCGCCTGTACAGTCATTACCAAGACTACTCGGTGCACACTGTCAGCCTCACATTTTTTTAATTTCTCTATGTGCAGATGATCATGATTAGTTTGAGAATTTCAGTATCGTTATCAGACTCAACTTTGCTTTTTAGGACCTATTGTTATACAATAACTATATCATAACTACTTCAGCAGCCATATTTTTTCCTATAAAGTACACAGGTACTGAAAGTTTATCGTATATGTGCCTATGCATCAATCTTTCAGTGGCTGGAGCACCACAGAATGTGACAATGTTTTGTGTTGCAAATACGGAAATGAACATGACTTACGGCATCATCACATGGCACCCACCCGAGGATGCGCGTGGAACAATTGTTGGTTACAAGGTAAATCTAACTGCTCTTTGCTTTACTAGTAGCGCTTCTTTGCCCAAATCTCTCCTACCCTGATTGCAAAATGGCAACTTGGACAGAAAGTGTACCTATTTTGTGCTAACAGTATTGCAATTGTCTGGTACATGCATACTCATTGATTACACCGGACAGTTGGTTACTGGCCCAGGTGGCAAGCAGAAGTTAACTTTGATAGTGTTTAGTGGAACTCTTAGTTTTACCCCTGATATGCAGTGATTACCACAGGAAACTTCGCAGAATGGTAAAATCAGAACAAATCTGTGCACATGTAGTTAAGCTTGCTGAAAACCTTCATTCTCTCATGTACATTTCATTCCTTTTCAAGGTAGCTTTTTTTTTATACCATTCTGGTGAGCTGTTTCCAACTCGGCAACATTGAAGTATTGTGAAAATAGAAACATAAAATCAGGAAATTTCCCAACTGTTTCAATATCTCTGCAAGACTTAGTTTTTCAATGACTTCTCAACCTGCAGCTCCTTTGAATAGAGGTTACACTAGCATGAAAGCCGCAGTACCTGCAAAGCAATGCCTGTAATATTTTTCACTTCCTTTCCATTTCCATTTCCTTCTCGTAGGTCCTGTTAGAAGGGCATGCGTTTTTTCGACGCGAGACGGGTGTCTTTGACACAGAGCGTCTGAAGGAGCCGCATGAAGTAAACTCCACCACTCTTAAGTATACCATCACCATCAAGCCCAACACCAACTACACCGTGCGCATTTGCACCGTGAACAAGGCTGGCTGCGGAAATCTGAGTGGTGTGACAGCTCGATCGACCTGCACTTCACCTCCGATAGGTATGCTAGCTCTAGCGTTGCGATGAATCTTGAGACTTAGTTTAACATAGGTGTCCTAGAATTATGCAGAGTAGTTTTAATTGTGCAGCAATCTAAGAGACCGCTCATTTGTTGTCTCATACTGGCGTCGCACACTTTCTGTGTTGATACACACAAGACGTGAAAAGAAGCCTGCATATTTGAAATGCCAATGCATGCTTGCCCATGAATGCTAGCATCACTGAAGGGTTTGTTTGTCTGTCTGAGCCAGCATCAGTAATTGGACAGAGATCTACGAAGAAAAAGCAAAGGCGATATGCCAGCGGCAGGAGTTGTTTGCTACTCCACAATCGGAGTAGCAAACAGTACAAAATCTGTAGAACAAAAAGAACACATAGATGGAGAAAGGGGAATTACAGACACAAGAAGAAAACGGCCGAAAAGTGCAGATAAACTTGAGGTAAACACAGCCGAATTACTGCTCTTCAATTTATACATATTTTGCTTGGAATGGAATTTGCTGTGATTCTTTTTAATCAGCCACCACACTTAATCCACATAGCAAATTAAGCATTAGCATAACTTGACCTTGTTCATCCATGTTCGTGCGCATATGCACTGATGACTGACTGTTCAAATTGTATGTTAAAGTCATCGACCAAAAGACCAAACCAGTCATGTGCTGAAAAATATGCAATTTGTCTTTGCTGGTATGGTAGTTTGGTTAAATATACTTTGGAATGCATATTTGTTGACTGAAACTTGAAATTTGTAGTTGGGTCACAGGGTTATCACAGGCATGCCACTAATTACAAATTATACAAAAATACATCATGCTCTGACAAGAAACCACAGCTGTTGCTTCTACACTTTAATCGTTTCATTTAGGACTTTCTTAATTTTAGCGCACTGTTTGACACATTTGTTGGACATATAACTTTATAATGCATAATTAAGAACATCACCAACAAATGGAAGCATAATATTTCAGGTTGTTGCGACAATAATGGGCAAACTGCAATTGTGTTAATAACGTAGCGGGTGAAATATGAGACACAGGACAAGGGAAGGGACAGAGGAGAGCGCTTCCTTTGTCCTGTGTCTCATGTTTTACGTGCTACGTTATTGTCCTACCAACACGCCCAACTTTATACTCTAGTCAGATTGTGTACTAAAGTAATTTCATTTTCCAAAATTTGTTTCTGGAGGTGCTTTTTGTTTTATTGCTATGGAGCTTGCGTGGCGTGGAGGCGATTAGAAGTAATGAAGTTAGGTAAATTTCTAGAAAGGGCCCTCATTGCCAAACACCGCCTTTCTTATAGCAAAGTTTTTAAAGTGCTCGCCCCGAGAATCGTGAAAGAAAACGTACCATAAATATTTCACAGAATTGTTGCTAATACCTGAACTGCATAACTAACTAAAGATTATATCAAACAAAGCAAGGAAATAACAAGCTTGGTGCAATAGCCTAACTTGGATTGCATTTATTGAGGCTACAGGAAGTCATGTACGCAAATTTTTGTAATAATGAACACTGTTGGCATCTTGCTCCTAGGTATAAAGAGTTAATGCATAAACTTGTACCATCAATCTTGTTTACCTGAGTTGTTTTCACTAATTGCCAGCATGACGCAGAAGTTTATCTGCTTAGAAATAAGATACACTCTTTGTGATGTAAATGTTTTTTTAACAATTTAATGCAATTTTACTCAGGGCCAGCACAACTGCCCAAGTTCAACCTTCAGCGAATGGAGCGTGAAAAGCGTCACAGGCAGCTAAAGCTCCACTTGAAACGAGTGTCCGAGAGGAATGGAAACATCCTGTACGTATTTGCATCTGTAGGAAAGGTTGTTGTATTAATATGCCGTGTCTTCTGTTGACATTGTTGTGGTGCGCACAAATCTGCATATGTACTAGCTTTGTGTGAAAAGTAGACGTTAGGTTCGAAACAAATTCATAGCAAATAGTGATTTGGTCGAATGGCTTCAATATGAATTCAGATCGTATACTATATCAGTTATTATAAAGGAAAAATTTTCAGATTTGTTGGGACCCAACTAACCTGCTCACTATTTTTTTTAATTTAAAACAAGACATGTACAAATGTCATTCTTTTCGGTTCAAAGGAAGTGGAATCAACTTTGAATAGTAGCAGGATTTGCTTTCGGTAGAATGGAAGTGATAACTTGTAAGATATGCTACATTTTAAAATTTGCTATACATAGGCCATATAAGTCAGTATAAGAAGCTATTAAACTTGAAAGATGATGAATCGATGTAAGACTAACATGTTCATTTAACCTTGAAATGGGGCTTCGGAGCAGTGGATTTTTTTTTTATGGATGTCTGTATCCACATTATAACACCCATTTATTGTAGGCAAACTACTTTTACAAGAAGTTGCATGCTGTTTATACATGTCCATTCAATAATTTCAAATACTTTGACATTTCTAACAAATTAAACTTGAATTGTTCATTTGCATATTTCAAGTGCTCGAATATTTGCACAAGCACAATGTGTACCTTTTTCGGTAGGCTATGTGGACGGCCTGGTCCTGCAAAAACAAAAGCACTGATCTGCTGCTTTGCACACTGGAGCATTTTGCAGCTCGTGAAACTCCATGGGCACGGTTTTACTATTAGCAAGGTCCTCCTAATAAAGTAATTAATACTGTCCAAGCATTCTATAGCTAACAGTAATTATTTTAAATTGCACAATGTTGCTGTATCGACAAGTGCGCCAAAGCTATAGGCAGTCATTCAGAGTGACACCGAGGAGTAACAACAAACTATGTTAACAGGCCACTCACTTCCAATACAGACAACCAACACAATTATATTGCAACAGAAAATTTTCGTATCAGCGCTTTCAAGGGGCCCTGCAAATCTTTCTCGAGTAATCGTGCAATAATTTCACTACCAGAGTTTCACTACGCCTCGTGAATCAACGTCCAGAAAAATGTTTCGAATCTGTGCAGTACAAGTAGGCTCAAAGACTTGCCGCTTGCTCAGAGTGCCTCCTCTCGCCTTTCGTACCAGTTTGCACTCTGAAGCTATGCAGCGGGGGATGACGAGAGGCCTGGTTTCATATGTCAGCACACGTCATGACCATACTTTCCTTTTTTTTTTCTTTGAACGTACAGTCTACTTTCAATGTGATCGCAGCAAACTGGTGCAATGTAGAGCATGGCGGACATGTTCGTGGTGCACTACAGCGGTCATAGTAACTATGCAGCCTGCAATGTTGACATTAGGCTATGGCCATGTGCTTTCGGGCTGATAACGTAGTTGTCTTGGGGTATCTCTCATCATTTGTCAAAGGAAGAAAAAGCAATTTCCAGCTGGCTTTGAAATTTAATTGCCAATTCTATGCTGTGTGCTCTGCTACAATGTTCGGCTTGTTTGCAGGAGCCTTGACTGTAAATTGGCAGCATTTTGTAGCCATGTTCGAAAATTGTTGCGGGGGCCTCTTCAAGTTATTTGCAACATCTCGCTGATCCAGTCGACACATTAAATGAGAGCGCAGTACCTGCAACTACCTAGTTGACCTAGCCATGCAACATACTTTGATGTAGTGAGAAGTGCTTACAGCCGTTACCCACTTACCCTGCAGAAATTCAGGCTATTGATTAATCATGCACTATGACCTTTCAGGTGCTACAGGGTGATCGTGGTGAAGCTTGCCCGTGGGGAGACATTAGAGTCATTGCCCAAGGACCAAAAGCAACTAAACATCACGTCCTATCATGAAGTGCATCGTGTAAGCAGCAATGGAGCCTACATTGCAGAGGCTATCAGCAGGTACAAAGCATAAAAATGCTGTTCTGTAAAGTGCAGGCTTTTAAGCCATGTCTTGTGCAATTCAGACTTGTACTTTTTTTTCTTAGGCTCACTGGATACGTCATGTGGCTTTGATTGTGATTTGTGCAAAATTTTCATTTCAAGCATGAAAAAAAAAGAGAAAGAGAAAATAGGGAGAAAAAGTGAAACAAAAATATTCATAATAAATAACAAAAAATAGAGAATAAGAGACAAAAAAAGCAAAGAAAAAGTGTAAAAAAAAAGACAAACTAAGAAAGAGAAGGAAGCAGAGATAAAGAACCCTAGCAAAAATTCTGATAGAAAAACTGATAGGCTATCAGGTTATTGACAGTTGTATCAGTCTATGAGTGTATCAGTCTATGAGTGTATCAGTCTATGAGTGTACCAGTCTATCAGTGTACCAGTACTCGTGTGCCAGCCTATAAGTGTAGCATTCTACTCTGATAGGCCCACAAGGGAATCGGTGCTTATCCAACTGGCAGGTGCACCACTACATCAGAGCAAGCAGGACACAAATATGAACACAGAAATCAAACAAAATATTTTATTTGATGTGCTGTTCCTTGGTTAATCTTTGGTTTTATAAAGTCATTAATTTTGTTTGCCAAAGCTTTATTGAGGAGCTTCTTAATTTGCTCAACCTCTCCAATCAGAACGGTGTGCTTCAAAAAAATGGTTTAAGAAATCTGCATGATCAAAAACAAAGCAAGTTACAGGCACTTATTAAGCGACAATTATGTGCACTCTAAATAGAGGAGTCAATATGACAAGGAAATAAGTAGGAGTGTACCAGTCGGCCTCTCTAATATTGTTTAAAATTAGTTCGTGGATTCTTGCATAAAAGTACCCAGCTCCAGTAGGTAAAAGCTACACTTGAAGCTTTAGTAAGTAATTATAACACAAGTTGGCAGTGAAACCTCGGCTGATTACGTGCAAAAATGGAGCAACCAACTTCCATGAATTTTAGTCAGATTGCAAAATTTCACCTACCTGAAAACACAGCATATGTTTCTTTCTCCTAGGGAGATTTCGCCTCCCCTTTAGACCGATTGGAGGCTGCGCCAGTAACACTTCTACCGACTTGGCCTGCTGTATAAAAAATGGTAACGGCCACCTCGCGAACAGAACGGGTCTGTCTTTTCATGCCCATGGGGTGATTGTACAACCTCTTGGGAACGGCAATTCCTTTGCTCCGATGCACCTATAAAACAAGTCAAAGATGATGTGCACACATTAGTTTGTCAATGCACATTTTCTCATTAAAGCAAACCAATATATCTTCAAGACAAAGCATACTATAGTTTTATGATACCTCTCTGTCAGTGGGCACATAATTGATAAGCAGTGCAGCCTCCGTCACACTTGAGTGGGCTACTTCAGGGCTGTCCGTGGCCGCTGTGGTGGTTCCAGCGTGTCAGCACATAGTGGTGGCAAAGGTGCAAGTCGTTTCTGTTTTTGAGGTTTGCGGCTGCAACACCCGCAAAGGACAAGGTTCTTTGCTGCAATGAAAAAGTGGAGTGTGCAGAAATAAAGTATATTGCACCCTTAATTGTCACGGTAGCATCCTAGGTGTGCATGGTCAAATAACATATATGGTAAACATAGCATGCAGTTGAGATATGCAATTAAAGTGTAATGATACGTTGCATGTCACGTCTCAAAACCATGGTGTGATTATAAGGAATGCCGTAGTGGAGGGCTCAAGAAATTTTGACCAAGTGGTGTTCTTTTTAATATCCACCACACTGTGAAAGTTGTAAAAGCACATTTTCAAGTGATTAGATAAACATGCATGCATCCATGCCACCCATGAGCTTACATTCCATTCTGCTTTTCAGCAAAATTGCACGCTATAAGAATAGGGCAACTTGCTGCTGCATACAACTCTAGCAGCAGTGCGTTACAACAGCTTATGAAGAAATGATAAACCTGTTTGGAAATTTTTGCTGTGAAGGGCATTTTCCAGTAGGCTTATTCTTTCTAATGCTTTTGTATTTTGAGCCCTGAGCATATATATTCACTTCTTTTAGAAGCTCTTTCTCTGTTTTTTTTTTTTTTTAGCATTAGCAAACAGCAGGCCTCCCTGCTGCTTCTTAAAACGGTTGCTGACGTGCCTTGTCTTCTGCTTAACAGCAGCTTGACGTCGTGTTTCTTACAACTGCAGACAACCCAACACACAAATTTCAGTGCTAGTTCGCAAGCACAAACAGGGCGTATATCCGCAGAAGCAAAAATAATTTTAAACCAGACAATTGTACAAAAAAATGTGACTAAGCTGCGCTCATACCACGATAGAATAAAATAAAATAGCTCTTCAGCATACTGCAACTTTATTAACACCTTCAATACGACGTTCCGGCGCCCGTGCATTAGTGGAGCAGTGATGCTCTGATATATTCGCTAAGGGGGCGGGGAGTATATCAGTGCATTGGTGCTTCATGTGTGACACGGCACCACGTGCAGAGCAAAATTGGCTGTCGAGTATAATTGCGCCGCAGTAGCACATCAGCCGCAATGTCAACGATAGCCAAACTTGGCCGTCGGTAATAATTACGCAGCAAGTAGAATATCAGCTGCAGTGTGACCAATTGCAACTTACTTTTTTAAACGATTCATTGTCCACTTCATTTGAACTGCAGCTATCGGAGGAGTTGCAATCGGGTCTGCAGAATGGATGGTCGTTTTTCTGTTGCATTCCTTGCATCATCCTCGGTGCCTAAGAAAATATGACCAGTAAATAACTTCAGAATGACTGCTTCTCCCTCTTTGTTTTCGTATTGGGAATACAAGAGGCGCGGACTTACCGTAAAGCTTAATCACTTGAGCGTGATAGTGGCCGCAGTGTGTGTTATCCTTCCAGAACACCCGGTACCACTTGTGAGGATCAAAATTGCCTGTATCCTTCGTATTGATATACTTACATGCACTTACCGGGACTATTAATTTTTAATTATCATCGCGAAACCAAACCTCTTGGAGAATTGCGAGTGTACAGGCGCGATACTGAGCAATTAAGAGACGCAACAATGTTCACATTCACTACACACGCACCAAGGCCGCCACGAACTTGCTATTGATGACGATGGCAGTGCCATTTGTGGATCTCCCAAGTAGTTTATGCAACCACGAATCCACGACTTCTTCCTCAACACAACGCAATTTAGTTTTTGAAAACAAAAATATTTATTTGCAAAACATTTACTTCATGTTTTTACAACCTTAGAGGGTAGTTTTTAAGAGCTCACAGCAAATAATATATAAACAATGAATGCAATTACTGTAAAACGGTGACTCTGTGCATAGCCTCTGAGATGGCAAACCCGCAATGACGGGCGCACAGCGGCAATTTTAGAGGTCATGCGCTGTGTCGCCATATTCGCGTTGGTTAGGCTAGGTAGCGTTAGCCGCCACCCAATTTCAAGGGTACAGCCATATCAATTCATTCATCCATTTATCTATCACAATTATATGGCTACAATCATCTAGCCATAATGGCAGTCAGCGACCACCATGGCGACGACCACCTTCCTCCATGGCGACCACAGTACAATACACCTTTACCACGCGAGGAGTTCTGTAGAGTCACTACCTCGCGCCGTGATCTCGCGGCACATGTTATAGTTTTCGGCAAAATCCGCGCCGCGTGCTTAACATTCAAGGCACAGCAAGCAGGTTGTGAATGTGAAGCCTTGGTCGATGTAATCGATCTTTACCCGTTCACTTATTATCAGTCCCGCAGCCTCACTTTGCGTGGACACCATCAAGCGCGCTATTGGAAGTTTGTGTCAAGTTCGACGAGAGATGGATTCAACTCAACCCTAGCCTCGATCAAAAAGAAAAACAACGCTATTTGGAGCCTGGGTCGAGGTACTACACCTCGGACAAGGAGCGGTGGAGGCGCAATCGGCCAACCAGCTACACTCAGCAAGAGCATTCCTCAGTCTTTAGCTGGTAATTGATGTTCTGAAGTAGCGTCCTTCGACACGTGAAGTCTGAGTGATGCGCATGGTGACAGCAATGAAAATCCTGATCCCAACGACACTTACGGCTTCGAGGAAAACTCGCTCAGCGATTCCGACCGGACTGCAGATGCGGCTCGCGACAATGTTGGCCTGAGCGACACTTTTCAAATGCAATCATGGCATGTATTTTACACTGGTGCATGTCAATAAACTGCCAGGCTCTTTGTGTGTGCTCATGTGCATGAGGCTTACATCAAAACTATTCAAGAACACATCTCACATTGGTATTTGCTCAGAAACAGAGAAAAAAAAGTTGTGTTTCTGCCGAAAGATGTGGCCAGTGTGTTTGCACATGAAAGTTGGATGTGTTTGCTATGTTGCTGATGTACCAAACTTGTTTAAAACTTGTGACATATATAGCCAGTCTAATGAGTTTAGCAAGGTAGGACAACTAAATGTTGGCTCGATCCTTTCTATTGTTGTTCTCTTCACAACTGAACTTTTCTCATGGTAGGCAGTTTCTTGTGCGTGTGTGTGTTTTGCAGTCAAATATTTTAGCCTTAATTAGTACATGGTTTTTGATTTATCAATCTTGTGAGGATTACAGGCAAGTAATATAGCAGGTCTGTGCCACCGCTTGGGCTTTATGAAAAGACACACCTGGGAATAACAGATGCTGCTATCAACATATCAGCCAAATCTTGCAGCTGCAAGTGACTTTTTTCATATAGATGACTGTGCTCACTTCGAATTTTCGGATGCCTGTATGTGGTGTAAAACAACTGAAAGCATGCTATTGGCCTATAGCCAAAATAAATCAAGAGCAGCGTTTTAATCGAATGTGCTTCTTGCCACAGTGTGCTGCCACATGCTGGCACTACTGTCCAAAATCTTCTAACATTGCATAGTCACACTCGCACATGGGAATGGCAACACGAAAAAGCTACTGTGTTTCTTCAAGCATGCTCTAGCTCATAATGTGTGCTTACATATCGCACTTATTTACTGCCATTCCTCCCTGTAGTTTTCGGGGCAGCTTGTTGGGACCGACGAGAAAAAAAAAGAAAGCGGTTGAGGTGCGCAATAAACCCCTCAACTTGCTTTGAAATATTTCTGGCAGTGGATTTGCGAGGCATTAAGTTTTGATGATGAGGTCAATTAATGATTACTCAAAGAAGCATTTCATTGTTTATTTAAATTATCTCATCCAGTATGGATTATGACACTAATGTAGTGGCTCGTCATTAAAAACAAAGCACTATGTGGGAGAGACAGCTGGGGTTGGCTTGTGTTGTGAAAGGGAGAAACTGCAGCACCACCCGAGGCTTTCGAATCCACGCCGTTTGGCAAAATTATTGTATCAGCAAGCTCATTTCACAGCAGTGGACTGATTATTAAGTTGTCTCCCTTGGAATGTTTACTGGCCCTATAACTTAAAATTTAGAAATTATGTTAATATTGCTGTGTGATGAGAAGTTTTGTTTGTATTGTTTCAAGTTATGTTTATACTGTCATCTGATAAGCTTTGGATACTAGTATCTTGAAATTTCTAGACGTCATCTATCATTGTCAGCATTAACTGTGTTGCTATCTGGCACCTGCAATCCCATTTGTACACAGAATAAAGCGTTCATCTAGGCTGAAAGCTGCTTTGCATATTTAAAGCTCAGTTTGTCAATTATGCACCACCATGAAACATTGTACATTTTATTCTACGCATCCAAAAGCTGCCAGTTTCACTCTTTGAGTCATCATAATATTTCACACAATGGTCATCAAGTGTTCAATAGAAAGCACTGATACACTAATATACATGCAGAAATGATTAATGACATATATGTGGGCAGTGTGTTCAAAAAAAGAAGTACCGTTAAAATGACAGTAATGCATCTTGAAGATCCGATAAATGAACAAAAGACTAAAAACCTGAAGACTAATATATGCCGTAGAAATGACCAATCAAACTTATTAAAAAGCTGGTAGCACTGGTAAGAATGTGTATCAGTCCGATATGAGACTGGTAGCACTGGCAAGAAAATGTATCGGACTGATATGAATGTCTATAAGAACTGGTAAGACTTTGTATCAGTCTGGCACAAGACTGGCACAACTTATAGGAAACTGTATCAGACTGATTCAGACCTCTATCAGAATTTTTGCTAGGGAAAAAAGACAGAAAAGAAAATTAGAGATAGAAATTGAGTGAGAGAGAAGGAAATAGTATTAAACTGACACAAAAAGAGATACAAGAAACTTAGAGCAAGGCTCAGAAAGAGAACAAAGGAAGAATAAACAAACTAGAAACATCGCCCATTTGCACTCTGCCTTCAGCCTTAAAGCATTAGCGCAAAGCTGGCATAATTTCATTTTTTGTTTGCCTCTACTGTTTTATTACTCGTCCACAAATTCCTCCTTGTTTACCTGGCAGATATCATGGGAAAATCAAATTTATCTGCCATCTAAAATATTTATATTGGAATGCACCTTTCGGCTGTCTTCTGCTTGGGAATTCGTTCGTAATCTGAAACCAAACCTCAGCTAGAAAAGAAATAAATATTAGTTAATTGATATGTCAAGTGTAAATAAGCAATGCTGAAAGCATCAAAACGTTAAAAATTTTTAAAATTTAACAGTTTGGATTGGACTGTTTCTTATTTACGTATATCAACAACTTTTTTTGCCGTTTGTACTTGTTTCGCAAAGGCACTATTGTAAATCAAACTTGTCATTTGGGCAGTTTATCAGCCATTCAACAATATAATATGGCATGTCTAAACCAAAAACAGCTGCAGACTGCAGCTTCATCTAATAGTGTTAAATGCAGGAGATTTTTGTAAAATCATGCAGTTACATTTTTTTCTGACATCGTCTGCTATACTGACAGTTATTATTAGCCCAACTGAATGCTCATCGTAATAAAATCAAGAACCTTTGAAAGCAACTTGTTTATACTATTCTGTTAATGAATCAATCATTTTTGTAATAAGGTTTAAGTTTTAGGCTTGAATTGTTTAGGACAAAAAAGTGCACTATAGTATGTGTTGCCCATTGCATTTATTGTACTATCAAGAATGTAGAAGCATTGATTCATTTGGCACCTAGCCATTTCGAAGTCATTATCTGCAGCAATGAAGTAAAATGCGAGTGTGAATGTCGACCCTATTATGTAACTTATTCATTATCTTTTGACTTGCAGTGAAGACTTTGTGGAAGAGGTGATCCTTGGGGACGAAAGGAATCATGTGTGCTCTGCTGATTCGATGCGGAGCACAACAGAGGACTCGCGCATGAACAGAAGAGCTGCCGATGCACTCAACATCACCGAGCCGTCCACACCTGCCGTCGATGTTGAATATGTGCGCGATGGCGCACTTGCGGCCAACACAAACTACACCGGCTTTGTCCAAGTACATGTTCGAGGTTCTAATGGGGCGTTGCTCTCTCAGCAGAGCCCTTACTTTGCTCCAGTAGGAGACAGGTGGGTCTCTGCGACCATTCATAATGAAATGCGCTGAGTAGAAGTCAGCTCAAAGAAGCACACATTGTTTTTTTCCTCTACAACGCTTTTGTTTAGGCTTGTGCGAATAGAAAATTTAAGGTTTTAAGCGAATTTGAAGTGAAAAGTGAATCGGTCAAATAATTTTGAATTGAATTTGAATGGTGTATATCACATCATATAAAGAAAAGTGAGTGTGATTCTCATGCTCAACTAACCTGCATAATATTTCTTTAATTGAAGCAAGGCATGTGCAATTGTCTTTTTTTTTATTATTCAAAGTGAAGTGGAAACAAGTTTGAATAGTAGCAGGGCCTCGCTTTAGGTAAATTTCAAGTGATGACTTGTAAAGTATGTTTCATTTTAAAATTTGCTGTACTTAAGCCAGATGAGCCGGTATAACAAGCTTTTGAAGTAAAAAAAATTATAAATCAATGCGAGGGCAATATGTTTATTTAACCTTGAAGTGGGGCTTTGCAGCAGTGCGAATTTCTTTCTTGGTAGGGTAGTATTCATGCTACGGCACCCCTCTACTGCAGCAAGATCACCTTTCCAAAGGGATACATGCAGTTTATAAATGTCTATTTGTTCATTTTCGATAAAAATAAAGGATACTTTAAATTCATTTTGAAGTGAACTCAAATATTGTCTTATGACAAAGTATGACAAGTATGACTTTTGTCTTATGACAAAAGTATGAGCCTACTTTTGTTTTTTAACTGAATGTCTTATTTATATTGAAAATGGCAAGTGGATTTTTTAAAACTTTTTTGTTGTCATATAGTTTGAAAATGAAACCATTTTACTCAGATTCCTTACAGCAACTTAAAAATGTTGATGACAAGAATGTTGATCCCCATCACTGTAACTTAACTTCACAAACCAGTATGGTATTACGAAAAATAAATATGAAGCTGTTGCTTGCAACCTTAGGGCTAAATGGTTGCAACTCAGAGCTAGCAAATAATTCTGTAAAGTGAGTGCCACAGGAATCCCCAATGTGGAAGCAGTACTGAAGGGTAAAATTTTTTATTAGCAAAGACCAATTATGCCTGTTGCAATGATCCTGTTCCACTTGATAAGAAAATTGGGGTGCAAGAAATTTGGAAATATTTGACAGTGATTTCATATTAAACTTTTATATCTATCACCTTTTTAACATTCACTTCAAAATTACATTGAAACATTGTAACCTGTTTCACTATCTTGAAATGTATGTGTGTTTGTATTTAAATTTTTTTCTGAAATTTGTGTTTGCACTTTGTATTGAACTTGCATTCAGCAACCGTATTGTCTGATAAAAGTAACTGATTCATTGAAATACTTTTGTAATTTTTCTTATTCTTTCCAAGTTTCAAGTTACATCTCTTTACTGTAATTTCATGCAAGCAACGTTAAGAAATTTTGCTACCATTTTTATCTGCAAGACCTTTTCTTTTTTGTTCTTATCCTATATATACACATGCATGCACAGATTGAAGCAAGAGAATGCAAATGTTCATCCAAGCGCCAGCACTACATGCACTGCAGCATATGCTTTTTTTTTTTCTACACAGGCACTGATCGCAACACTATCACTGCTGAAAGCCCTGCTGCAATTGTGTTTGGAGTAATATGTGGCCTTGTCCTTGTGGCTTTGATGATGGTCATCATTGTGTGCATCATGAAGTAAGACACCACTGTTACTGGATGCACTGTATTTGATAAGTATATTACCTGGCTGCAACCTGTGATGACTCGCTGCCCCCAGAGTCCCTGTACAAAAATTGCTGCCAATTGATAGTCAAGGCTTCCGAGAACATGCAATCTAAATACATGGCCCAGAATTTACTGTTAACTTTCTAAGTCAGTAAGAAATCATTGCTTCTTCTTTCTACTAATGATTTCATATACCCAAAATACTGCGCCGTATACCCAAAGTCCACGGCCTTAAAGCATGTGGAAAACGCCTGCAACTTCATATTTTACGGATTCTAAAATATTTTCCTCTTGTTAATTTGAAGCAATAAGCTCTTTTAATGAAAACATTAGATGATTACTTGGAAAAAGTGTTGCAAGGCCCCCTTATTTTACAGGTTCTGTCAAAAGATGGAGCACCAGCAAAGGAGAATCATTTGTACTTGGGTTTCAAGTACTTACTGAACGCAGTGTATTTGAATACGAGTCTCCGTACTTTATGCTTTTGAGCCAAATAACATTCAAAACTTTCAATATTTGTGTGCAGTTTAAGCTGTGCCCCTTTAATTGTGTGCACTCTTAAATTGGTGCAACCCTTTTGCTTCTGGATTTCTTTTCTCAAATACTTTGCTCAATGTCAAGCCAAATTTTATTTAGTGTTCGAGCAAACTCTACATTAGCTCTTGTAATACATTGAGGATGAAAACATTTTGCTGCAATGGCAATTATATGGGTACTTTCGGCTGGTTTTGGCCGCCACTTTCAAACTCCATATAAAGTTCAAATTGTTAACATTGCGTCGGGCTTCACGTGTTTTATGTGTTAGTAAATACAAAAAAATTTCTGACTGGGAAAGATGGTAGCTTGCGATGAAAAAGTACGTAAACATTTGTGTGCTCGCGCCAACGTTTCGACAAGTGGAGTTGTTTCCTTCCAGTATTGAAGAAAACAAGTTCACTTGTCGAAATGTTGGCTTGAGCATGCAACCTCTGTTTACCGATTTTTTTTTTCTTGCATTAGTAAAAGCATGCGAGCACATGGATAAGCCCGGCTGAAGCAGAGATGAAATGAGCCAGTGGTCTTCTCACTAGGCCTCCCTTGTGTGCGTGCGAGGTTTTTTGTTGGATGGGGCTGTGTTGCTTTAGCAAAAACTGCAAACATTGATCTTAAAAGCGCGCTCATGAGAGCTGTTGCACACGCCACACCAATAGACAGTGCTAGGTGGCTCGTATACATGCCTTATTCTCACCGCATTATGTTGAGACGACAAAAAGTACGAAAGCCAGTTTGCTCCCAAATTGCTTCATTCATTTTAACCAGGGCTTTGTAGGATTATGCGGAATTGTTATGCGGAAGAGTTAGCTGCTATTCTTACTTTGTATAACATTCCAATTTGTTGCTCTTGTATTTGAACTCGTAAAGCACATTACAGTAAAGAATAAATGGCAGAGCAGACCAACATAAGAGGACAGAGCACTCTGTCTTCTCGCGTCTGTCTGCTCGGCCATTTCTTCTTTACCATAATGCGCTATACCGGTACAAGTACGACGAACCAGCATGCCTAATCTTCAACACTAGTTGCTTTTGCACTCAATGCTTTACCCTCACGTCGAAACTGAAGGGCCATAGTCATACCAGTCTTTCTTCTCCTTAGGAAGAAAAATGGCCAGCTGTATGAGGACCAAGGTGAGCGGCTGGGTCTGACCGCATTTCTTCGGAGAACCATTCAGAAGAATGGCCATGTTCCCCGGGCGAAAAGTGAACACATGCTCTTTGCTAAGCATGATCTGGCTATCTCTAGTAGCTTTGGCTGTAGTCCTTGCATGCGGTTGTGGCCTTCCTTCTCTCATGTGCCTGCATGTTGCACAGTGTGCTTGCAATGAACAGACAGATTTCTATTTGACTTCATTTTTTTGTCTTCTTTTTTTTGAAAGCAGAACAAAATATGTTTGGCACTGGAGCAAGTGCGTGTTTAAAATATGGTAATCAATGAAACATTGCAAACATTATGCATTCTGGTATCGTACTTTGTAGAGCAAAACTTACTAGATACCAACATCTCCATTAACTGATTTAATGATTTTAAACTGATTGCTAAGCTTTAATCAGGCTGATTAAACATTTATCAAAGCTAGGAATAGGGACTAAAAACATTTGTAGAGTTGCAAACATTGACTAGTCTTGACTGCGACCAACGTGAGTAGTTCAATATTATTGTCACAAGCACCTTGCTCTTCGTGATGCACGTGCTCAAGAATGGAACAAAATTAACTAATGTCATGTAAAAGCTTGTGTGTAGATTCGCCGTATTGCAAGCAGTCATACATGCCAGTGTTAAATATATATTTAGCCTCCCACTTTCCTCATAGCACTGATTTGTTTGGAATTTTATTGTGCCTTATACTCGCTTCAAAGCAAGCCTCCTAATTTATTTTGCTGTATTGCGACTAATAGGCATAGCTTTGTCTTCACTACTCACTCTAACACTCCTCTACTTGTGCATTTTCATGCTTAAAGAACTATTACATCTTTACACACGAAACTGTGATGTTATGACACATAGGCATGTTCAAGATTGCAGTATCATTGCCCATGGTGGTGTTACATTTATTTCTAAAGCAGCATTGTTCTATATTTACTGCCTAGCACTTTAGCAAAGGCAAATATCTAAAGTGTGTGTTACTCGTGAATATCCTTGTCCTGCAGTGGTTCTGTCATTCACCCTTGTTTGCTTTTTGTTTCTCAAAACTTATGAAGTACTTACTGTAAAAATACTGTTGTCATTTATTTGTATTGTTTCTATTTGAAGTGTTAAAGAAGGGTCTTTTTTTTTCTTGTTTTGCATGCATGTCTTCTGACACATAGGCCTACAGTATTTTAAAAGGCACAAAAATGCTCTGGTATTCTGTATAAGTCCCAAATATTAATTAGAGCCATAAAACATATCTGAAGTTTGTAACACAGTGATAGAAATAAGGACAAACAGGCGACACAGAAACACTCGCATGGTTCTTTCCCTCCTGCCCGCTTTGGTGTCCCTCATCTGCGAATTTCTGTAATGCCCACCAACAAGGCTTTGCATTTGCACCTCTGTTACGATGCACAATTAAGCCGATTCGCTGGCTACATGCTCTTATACTGCGTTATCCTAGTCTTCCTGCTTTTCTCTGCTACATTGCCATACATGAGCAAGTTTATAGTCTAACAAAACTTTGTTGTGAAACTTGTGCCTTCACTATGTGTAATTATTGAAGAAGGTAATGTTTAGTGCCGCTATAAAGGCATGCTATCGGAAACTGTTTTTTAGAAAACTGAAGTATGTTGTTATTCCAGGAGGCAGTTTTGTGAACTCTCCAAACTCTATCCCCATCTCGGCGGACAACTTGCCAACTGCCTTCATGAAGCGTCACTGTGACAGTGATTTGTTCTTTCAAAGTGAATTCGAGGTTTGTATCTACAAGTTTTTTGGGCTCATAGTGTGCTTCAGAACTGACCAAAATATCAGCCTGTGGTAATCATAATTATGTAAATGTCATGGAACAAATGCTGGGTCTTCTTTGTTCATCTCATACTTTTTCGTTGTCAATTCCTCCAGTCAATAAATAAGAATGCTTTTTTACACTCGCATGTTATCTAAGCTTCGGTTTCACGGTATGTGCATACAACTGCCTCCACAGATGTTGCCCGAGAAGTTCAAGGACAGGACAACATATGCCTCTGATGCTCCAGAAAACATGCACAAGAATCGTTACCCAGACATCAAGGCTTGTGAGTACTCGCCCACAATAACTGCATCTGAAGCTGATGTGGTCATTCATTTGCGTGGCATAAATTGCATAAGTTGTGCGGTTGTTCTCTTACAGTTGACCAAACAAGGGTCAAACTCTCCACCATTGATGGCATTCCTGGCTCCGACTACATCAATGCAAATTTCGTTGAGGTAATAATTATGCAATCTTGGCCCCATATAAACTGGACATGCAACTTTCATTCCATCTTTCAATTTTTAAATTGTTGTGCCTCAAGTATGTTGTTACTATGATGCATTTAGACACTCGATCCCAGCATGCGAAGAAACCAGGCCCGTAGAACTTCCTGAAATAACAGTGGAACAAGTATTATTCATTAGCAAATGAGGTGAATTAAGACTGCCTTATATAAAATGGGTACTGATTAATCATTTTTTGCACATGCACCATGCAGAAACATATGTATCAGGTATTTGTACTGTAATGTTTTAAGCATTGCAGTCAGTTGTGCTTGCCACGTGCAGTTTATGTTCACTCGCTGTCATGCATAGCCTGCAAAACTATATACTAATCTGTTTCATATCAACAGGGTTTCGGTGGAAAGAAGACATTTATCTGTGCACAAGGTCCTCTGGATCGGACTGTGACAGACTTCTGGAGGATGATATGGGAGCATAGAGTCTCAGTCATAGTGATGCTAACTGGAATTGAAGAAAATGGCAAGGTAGCCCGCCTTTTCTAAAATATTTTTTAAGTGCGTGCTTTTTAACTAATACACTAGTCTTCATACAATGTTTATTAGCATTACATAGTGACATCTGTGAAGGTGCTTGTTGAAATAGTGAAATGTTGATGCTAATTGCTAGATGCTTTAGCATGTTTTACTGCGTAAAGCTTTGGTGTCTGGGCATACAGCCATGGTCTTTTTTTAAGTTTGTGGCAGTATATTTGGGTGTTAACTGTAACCTCAAGAGCCATGATAAAGTTGTAACCTGTTGGTTATTTGCAAAATCAATGTACTGCTAGGAGTTACAGTGGTAATTTTAAGGTTGCTCATGTCATGTTTTTTCTTTTCGTTTTTATAATCTGCTTCTCTTTTTTTTTTTTGTTCTTCCTCTTCCAAAACAGATAAAATGTTCCCAGTACTGGTCTGATGATGGTGTCAAAGAAATTGAAAAGCAGTATACTGTTAGGGTTGTGACTGCAAAGAGGTATTCGGATTACATTGTACGGAGGTTCTTTGTTGAACACACTCAGGTATACACTTTTTTTATCTTTTGCTATACGCTGGTTTATGTTATTGCTGCATTACCAGTGCAAGTTCTTGGTCATCCTTAAATAAATGTTGAAATTGAAAAATGTTCTGTTCTTTACCAACATTTGTCATAAAACGAAAAACTTTGACAGACTTCTTATATCTTACTCGCTCCACAATTTTGTACAATGCAGCAATAACGATCAAAACATTATTTGACAATGCTGTGATGTTCTGATACGACATTGTGGCTGCTATTTGGGCTTTTTCTGCTTTGTTTTTTCCAGTTTCGGAAATCACAGCGCAAAGACATTTAAATTGTGTCACTGCTTTTAGTGTGATATGTAGATGTATTAGCATCTTTGCTACTCTGGACGAGGGGAGCTCGTCCTGTCTAAACTGTCGCCAAACTGCTTTGGACAAGTGGAACTCGTTTTAACGAAATAGGTGCTCCCCTCTAGCGTTCAGGTGGAGATGCGCGCATTTACGGATTGGCTAGATGGCCGCATTTGATGGAGGATCTAGTTTTCTCCACCGGAAGGAGCGTGGTTTTTGTATGGAAGGACGTGGTTTTTGTAGGCATGGTTTTTTAATGGTGGCGACCCATGCATAGCTGGTCCGTAAAGAGCGGTCAACCGGTCTGAACCGTTGAAAAATAAAATTAAGACAACTGCTATGTTGTCTCTTCCTGGGTGTACGTGTGTGTACACAAGTTTATGTTAATAAGTCATACGAAGCAGTGCAGGTGCACACACCAAAAAAGTTTTAAATTGCGCACTTGGATCAGGAGATCGTGCATGGTCAACAGTGGAGTTGATGGATAGGCGCTGAATTTGTACACTTTCGCTCTTAGAGAGGTGGGATGAAAGATTTATGTTACAACAATAAAATGACTACTGCTCCCATAAGAACATTGCTTCCCACAAAAATCGGGGCAATTCTTATGCGCAGCTTAGCTGTGCTTATTCCATTTTCTCTGAGAGAAGTGCAAGGAAATAGTTTTAATACAATAAAATCGCCTCTGCTGCCACACACACAAAAAAAACAAGCTCACTTCTACCAAGATGTAGAACAAGGGCTTATGCAGTAACATATATATTGATATGTATATGCATATATACACTCGAACTTCATTGCAACAAAGTTGCATCTTCTCTCAAAATAACTTCGTTATATTCAAAAATTAATTATAATCATTCATCCTGTAACACTGTATTTGGGATAAGGCTATTTTTCATTCACTTCATTGTAACTAATAATTCGTTATATCGAAGTTTTGAGTATATCCAAAACCATAGTACCTTATCAGTAGCACACTTGAAAAACCTCATACCAGCCTGTATGTCAAATTAGGGAAAAATGTTGCATGATGTCTATGTATTGTTAATCATGGTCATAGATCAGCAAAAAATTTAACTCTCTTAGGCTCACTCATAGATATATTTTTATTTTAACAGAGAGTTCGCTTACTCAGATTCACGAAAATTTCCCTCAACAGGACTCTCTTGAACTTGAACTCTCTAAACATTTTCTCAAATGGACTCACTCGAAAACTCGGCAACATATTTATTGACCTGACTGACTCGCTCATACTAGCAGCTTGAGTCCGAGTGAGTCAACTTGTGAAACTGCTGGCATAAAATTAGCTCTTCAATCATGGTGTAAATGCTCTTTAACACCGAAATCTCACATAATCAGATATTTCATTAAATCTCATAAAAGTGTTTATAAGGGTAGGTCATGACACCACTCCTCTAACTCGCACCTCTGGTCTATAAATGTTGAGGTATGAGCTATGGCAGGTATGAGAAAGACAAAACAGGACTAACACTGACTACAAACAAGTGTGTTTATGAAGGCGAAAATGCTGTAGGCCCATGTGCTCAGATTTGGGTGCACGTTAAAGAACCCCAGGTGGTCGAAATTTCTGGAACCCTCCACTACGGCGTCTTTCATAATCATATTGCCGCGACAGGTTGGCCACGTTCAAGTAGCCCGCCGTAATCATCGTGGCAAGAGCACCAGAAAGACCCGGCTGGCATGCGCCACGCGTTCGTGCGCTCGGCCTACGAGGAAGAGGAAGATAGTTGAATCTGTGCCACTCGGCTACTCGGACTCGACGACCACAGTCATTACTCGGGGGCACAAGTTCGCCCTAATAAAGACGCTTGTTTTTTAGCCTGTCTGCCTCAGCATCGCTACAATATCGTGGTTTTGGGAGGTTAAACCCCACATATAAATCAATCAATCAATCAAACATACTCACTTGGACTCAAACAAAACTTTCACACCCGGACTCGCTCAAAATTATACTCGTGGCCATATCCGAGTACAAGTGAGTCTGGGTGAGTCGACTTATGTGTGATTTTGCCGATGTATGATCATGGTACATGCATGTATCAATATTGCAAGCAAACTCCTATAGTAGCAGGTTAGGCTGTGTGCACATTGGAGGTGGATCAAGTTATAATAAGCCACAAGATTAGTCACTGCACAATTATAGGTGCCATTTTTGATGCCGCTAAATTGAGTTTGGCAGTTGGGCTGGTACCTGGTCTTGTGTTCTTTGTACTGGGGCGGGAACTGTCCCCCTGTGATTACTAAAGGCAACAATTGTGAATTGAGGAGGGAGATCTCTGAAAACAGTAAAATAGCTGACCATAGGCTCTCTAGAGAAGTGAGCCTGTAATTGTGTGGGCAAAGTGGCAAAATATTGTGTGTAGGAAAAAAAAAATTGAGTGCTGTAATTTAAAATTCAGTCGGCTTTGAGTGTTTATAAGCTTTCTATCATCTTTAAATCAGGATGGTATTACTGAGGAGCGAGAGGTCTTGCAATTTCACTTCACCATGTGGAAAGACTTTCTGGCGCCTGACCAACCTTCATGGCTTCTACGATTCATCAAGCGTGTCAATGAGCATTACGTCTCTGACAGAGGGCCACTGCTGGTTCATTGCAGGTAATTTCCGCGTGCTTTGCCAAAAATATAAGCTAGTTTGATTCAGTCATGGTGTTCACGTCATGGCTTAACAAAAACTGTGGCACTTTGAGGCACAAGTGAGCTGAACTTGAACTGAACAGGCCATAATTATTTGTCTAATGACTGCAACTGCATTCCTGCATAGCTAATATCTTGCTTTTAAGCAAAATGGCCCTTTCAATACTTCAGCTTATTTCATGTAAATTATGATGGTTAATTAGTATCCTTTAATTAGAAAAGTGCCCTTAGATTCATCGGTTGTAGCTGAGCCTTTTTTTATTCCTGCAGCGCTGGTGTGGGCAGAACAGGGACGTTTGTGGCTATTGACTCGCTGCTGGAGGAGCTAGAAAAGACTGAAGAAGTAGACATCTTCAGCTGTGTGGCCAGTCTTCGCAAGCAGCGCAACTTCCTCGTTCAGTCACTGGTATGCAAACCTGGTTTGAGTGGGTGCATATATCACTGTGCAGTTGTGTGCTTTGCCCCGCCGCGGTGGTCTAGTGGCTAAGGTACTCGGCGGCTGACCCACAGGTCGCGGGATCGAATCCCGGCTGTAGTGGCTGCATTTTCGATGGAGGCGAAAATGCTGTAGGGTGTGTGGTCCGATTTGGGCACACGTTAAAGAACCCCAGGTGGTCGAAATTCCTGGAGACCTTCACTAAGGCGCCTCTCATAATCATATGGTGGTTTTGGGACGCTAAACCCCACATATCAATCAGTTGTGTGCTTCATTCTTAAAGGCATGGTGCTATCAAATTTAGAGGCTATAACAAGCCTCATGTGGGTTTCCTCTGTATGCAAGGACACTCCGCACGAGAGATCGGACACAGAAAACATTTAAAATATACATTAATTTACTTCCCAAGCGTACCTAAAGGCTCATTCTCCCGATCGGGGCTCATTGCGAGTGCGTTCAGCACTGACATAGCTCCTACAGAAAGGGCAGTGAAAGTTAGTGACGCCACATCAGATCTGTAGCGAGGTGAGCGACGTTCGCACTGGTAAAGCATCGCGACTGCTGCAGCTAATAATGTTTGTTTTGCAAGTGCTTGTGTTTTGCAAGTGCGTGTGTGAGAGCAGACAATACCCAGCACGACTCACGTCAAAGCTTTGTGTGGTCACGTGACCAAGCCACCTACACTGCTACATCACTTTTCCAACTCTGGGACCAGAAACTGAAACCAGAAATGGTCCACATAAATTAGGTGATGTTAAATTATTTACCAAGAATACATGAATCTTGGTTCATGCAATATTTGTACGCCTATACAGGGTGTGTCCACAAAGCAAGAAGACTGTGCCAGGTAAAAAGAATTTGATTCCATCGGTATATATTATTAAACTTCTTTGAAATATTTTTCTGCGCACTAAAGGCTCCTGGAAGGTCAGCTGCCATAGTCCCTTTCAGAGACTTGGTGACAACCTGTTGGAGCACCATCAAAATGGTGACTTTTCAGGCTTGTTTTGATTTTTGGGAAGAGGATAAAGCCTGCTAAAATCTCATCAACGCTGGTGCAGTCCCGATACAGCCCTGATGGGAGCCGAGTAGACTTCTTCCTGTTCCCAAACCTGAAGAAAAGCCTGACATGCTATTGTTCCGACAGCTGTTCTCATTATTATGCCGCGACACCTTGCCTGCATTCAAATAATGTGCCTTCACCGGTGTGCACCGTATTAGTGTGCCGCGCGGAAACCATCAGCAGCATAAGCACCTGGCTGGACCAACTATTATGCGCCACACACTCGTACTTCTCGCAGAGAGCTAAAAAAAAAGAAGACGGCTGACCGTCCTCTTCGGCGTTTGACTGACTCGCAGTCTTTCGACCACAGTCACTTTGAGTTGAGTTGTGGGCACAGGTTCGCCCTTAATACATTTGTTTGACTCGTCCATGTACTTCACCATTGCTACAGCATGCAACGGGCTCTCAAAGTATTTGAAAGAGCCTATATTCAGGGAGACATTGTTTTTAATGCGTTTCCCATGCTGCAACGTGTTAAAACACCCAATGAAACTATTTTGAAGAACTTCAATAGTTCATATGGATTGTATCAATAAATTCTTTTTGCAAGACCCAGTCCTATTACTGTACAGGCAAATCCCATATGATTACATGGCAGAGTCGACTGCGGGTCAATATTTTTGTGGCGCGGTTGTTATGAAATAATCACTAGAAAAAGTAAGTTTAGAGCAGCCATTAACAACTTGCTTTTTTCACACAGCCAAGTATACTCCATGTATACTCATAGCAAAATAATGGAATCATTGCACTAGGTTATACAACATAAGTTTATGAAATTGTACACATATTTTAAGATATTACCAAAAGCTTTTGAATATCCTTTCATGTGCACATGTATGGCACAAGATGACAAAAGTCGGTGACAACAAAATACAGTAGACTCTCAGTAAGTAGAAATCAGTTAAACAGAACTACTGCATAAACGGAACTATTGCCTCTGAAATGCGTGGTTTCGGGCTTGTATACTGCACCCATGTTCATTTCTCACTTAACGGAACTCCTGTTAAACGGAACACATTTTCCCGGTCCCTTCAGGTTCTGTTTACCGAGTCTACTGTAGTACACCGCCACTTAGTGAATTCTTTGGGGGGAAAAAAGGCAAAAGTCATGTTCTAACTACAAACTAAATTCTGAATGAAGCTGCACATCTTTTTTCTTTTTACAGAAGCAATATATTTTTATTTACCGGGCACTTCTGGAGCATGCACAGTTTGGCGACACAGAAATTGAAATCCAGCATCTCAGGGACCACTACCTTCAGTTGAAAGAGAAACTAGGAAACTCTGAAAAGTCTGGGATGGTACTGGAGTTCGAGGTAAAATTATAAAGAATTCTTTTTCTCTTTAAACAGTAATCATTGGTTGGTTAGTTTGTTTTATTCAAACCCTTGTGTATAATGTGTCCTCATTTTTTTTCAGAAACTCGGCGATGTCATTGAGGACCCCAAGACGTGTTGCGTGGGAATGATGGACATGAATGTAGCAAAAAACAGATATGACTTCATTGTACCTTGTGAGTTCAAACATTTAGTTGTGTGGGAAATTTGCTCTTTAAAGCACTTGCGCTAAGTAGTACACATGTGATGTTTGAGCATGTGAATCCTATGGTAGCCCTTCTGGTGCAGACAGACTTCTAGTGGATACAAAAATGTTGCAGACCCCCACTGCACTTAGGACATTTATGTTGTTCCTGCTTCTACATTTTAGTTTTGCCTTTATTGAATCTTGGGTTATAAGTGTAATCGCACTTATGATCTCGGAAACCATGTGGCACATCGTTCATGTTTGCTGGCAGTAGGATATCAAGTTTTTGTGCGAGTTGCCAGCTCGAACTGTGGGAAAATCGTACAGTGCTCATGTATCTGGACAATCACCAACCTAGCTGTTTTCTAAGATTGTTCCCTTAATTGTGCAATTTACTTAGGTCACTGCCCTGTTTAGCTCCAACTTTAAAATGAACAGAACCTTTACATTTTCGTAGCTCACTTTCTTATGTCAAAAAGAAATAAGGAAATCATGTTCCAGTAATATCTCTCTGCACAAGTATACCCTATCATAGGCTAAGATTTCTTTGTGGCTGTGAATGGCATGCCTATGGTTCAACTTATGTGGCCATGATTATTAAACACTCTCATTATTAACTTGAGACAATCTAGAGAAAATAGTTATTGGCCCTGCTAAAGCATGTTGCATTGAAAAAAGTGAATTTTTGGCAGTGTAATCTTGCTAAACTGAGAGTAAACTGTTTTATACTTTTGAACTGACTTTTGACCACTGCATGTACAGAATGAATTTTTCTGGATGTATGCACTATCGAGTACATTCTCGGAACTATCAACATCAGTTGTAATTTGAATTTTGCTAGCAAAGTGGGCTTTTTGGAAAAAAATATGGAAAAGGTTGATTACTTTCTATTGCATCAGCAGATAGGCTTTTCATGAAAGTTAGCCATTTCAGGCATATTTCACGCATTTAAGTGCAGCATTCAGTTGGGCATAGTGGATATTCCACATAATTTTTTGTTTTCTTTTTCTCTCTCTAGACGACTGCAACAGAGTTATTTTGCCCGTGTCACCTTCACGAGACCATTCATCTTACATCAATGCCTCATTTGTCCAGGTAAATAACTTTCTTTTTGTTACTTTTGTTCTATTTATTTGCTTCTGCTGCTGTATTTACTGCATAGTAGTATGTAGTTTTCATTGCAAAAATGGTGTGCTTTCCTTAGAATTTTCACAGCTTTGCAAAATTAACACTTGTAAAAGCTTGACTTAGGTAATATATTTTGAAACATAACATTAACTTATTTTGAATTTGGGAAGCATATTGCCAGACATGCGGGGCAACAAAAGGCAGAGCTGCTCATAACGGTATGGAGATGGATAACTGTATGACCAACCTCAGAAATACCGGTGGCACTAAATCTTGCTAGGGAAAGAGGAAATAAGTGGATGCAGTGACTGCATACATTTGCACCAAGGTTACCTCAAACATTGTTCAGCCTTTAATGTCAGACAGTCTTGAATTTTTTAGAGCATGCTGTGGTAACACAGTGGCATGTCGATACATTCCAGCTGCGACCTAACATCCAGGAGAAACCGTGCCTTTTAGAGAGTAAGAGCTTCAGGGGATCTTAGGAGGACCTATGGGAGCTGCTTTGAACTCGAGACATTGAGAGGTCATTGCAGCATGGATATTGTTCATGTTTGTTGTCATGACATTGTTTAGTATTCAAAGTTTTCGAAGTGTTTGAAACAAGTGAGCGAATGTGTTTCTGCATGTGAAACTTGCCTACAAATATTGTCTCCATGAAAATGTGGTTTCAGGACATATTATATTGCACTGCCATGAAGCCACAGGTGAAGGCGATGTTTGTGTGGAACCCCAACCTAAATTTTACTGTTTAATTCTTCAGGATGGGGAAATATGTGTAAGCTATGTTGAAATTTAAGATGTAGCATAATTCACTGTATGTAAACTATTATTTTTAACTTAGCACAAATAACATTTGATAATGAGTGAATCTAGGTTTTGGAGTGTGTCGGTTTGATTTTTCTGATATTACATGCCATATATTAAGAACAGCGGCCATGAAGATGGCACTATTCAGCCATGGACTCTCACTTAAGCTGTTGCAACTGTTTAATTTCTTTTTTCAGTTTCTCAAAGCCCTATACAGCTGCGGACACTATATTTTGCATTGATGTGGCACTAAACTATTACTTGGGTAGCACACACACAATGGGAGTGAGCTGTGGTTTGCACACTCAGCCAAAACAAGCTGTTATCAACTGGCATACTTATTTTTCCTGTGCACTTGCAGAATGGAGAGAGTTGTAAGCTTGCACATAGATGAAGAGGACGATGTGGCACGACATAAACTGCTCGCGGTTAAGCTTAAGCTTTTGCTTGGCAGCGTTGCCATGGCACAGAATAATCGAATGTGAAGTGCTTCTATGACCTCCAGTCTCAACTTTAATGAAATCTTTTTAATGAACTCAAGCACAAGCATCTAGAGAGCCTTTGAATGAAATTTTTGTGCCTCTTGATTCATAAGAAAAATTGAACTTGCAATTCTGCATTAACTATCCAAATATCAGAACTTTGAAAATAAAATCCCTTCAGAGGTAAGATAAACTTTTTTGCTGGCAAGTATGGAACCAACCAACTTTTGATTTGTTGACAGCTGGCACTTGGAAGTTTTTGTGCAAATTTAATTGCCATGGAAACTATTCAATTCGAAATTATTCTACACTCGTGTTAGCAGATCACTGTATGTGCTCTTCAAACCAAACAATTTACATTTGCCCTAAGCCTACTTACTGCTAGTATCCTTGAAACTGCAGATAATTTGAGCAAGCTAGTAGAGAATCATCATGGAAGAATGCAGCATATACATACACACACAAGATAAAACACCAATGACATTTGTGTTGTCTGGTACTTTTCTTTTGCATTTGTTTGTATACAACTGTGTACTAATGTTCTTATATTAATATTCATTTCTGTCATAGATGAGTCTGCTCTAACATGTGTCCTATATTGTAGTGTCATATTTCAAAATTTGTAAATCCTTTGTTCAATAAGCCCTGGCAAGAGACATTGCTGCCCTCCTCCTGGAACAAATCGCTAGAAGTAGCATATTTCATAGCTTACTTTGCACTGTAGTTTTAAGGGACACCAAAGAGGGAAAACAATTTGTTTTGCATTAGTAAAACACTTCTTTATAATACCCAAGACACCACAATTGCAGTGGGCAGGTACTCGGTAAGGGAGAAAGCACACAAAGAAAATGTAGGTGGCGACGCAACCATGAAGTTCCCACACCAGTTACTGCGTGGTGCAAAATTTCCACCGCGTCTGCTCAGGCATGTGTTATTCCTTATCGCCAAATATGAAGTACATTGTCTGATGGAGCCAAGGACTTGACATACAAAGTTTCAGAAAATTTTGTTGACTCAGTGCTACCCAAGTACTAAACAACAGTAAAATTTGGGATGTCTCCATCGGAGCTTTTGATGGGAAACCTGAAATTGGCACTCCTGACATTTTTTTTTTCTTTATTAGTAAACCTATGTTGGCGAAATGAATGACGCTAGTTTCCAGAATTAATTGTTTTATTTTAGAACTCCTTCAACACACAGGTCGCAGTGGTCTAGTGGCTAAGGTACTCGGCTGCGGATCCGCAGGTCGCGGGATCGAATTCCGGCTGTAATGGCTGCATTTTCGATGGAGGCGGAAATGATGTAGGCTCGTGTGCTCAGATTTCGGTGCATGTTAAAGAACCCCAGGTGGTCGAAATTTCTGGAGTCCTCCACTACGGCGTCTCTCATAATCATATGGTGGTTTTGGGACGTTAAACCACAGATATCAATTAACTCCTTCAACACAGTCATGAATATGATTCATCAGATATAGAGGCCTATTTAAAATATTCTGTTGAAGCAAAAGAGCAGTTAATGTGCTGTTATGATGACAGTTATATGACAGATGCATTTGCATGCCAGATAGACTTTTTGTTACAAAAGTGTCAAAAAAATGAAAACGTGGGCATAACTCATTCTCTGATGTGTGAATGATGTATGCTTCGCAGGGTTATGACCGGTCACTGTCTTTCATCATCACTCAAGACCCGCTAGACTGTTCTGTTGTGGAGTTTTGGCGCATGATCAAGGAGCAGTGCATTTCTACTATTGTTATGCTCTCTGAACTTGGTGAGGGCCAGGTGGGTGGCCCTTTCTCTTTTTTTTTAGCCATCATTTTTGTTTTACGATTTTATCCCTTTCTTGTACTTTAATATCGTTAGTGATCTGGCATTCTTTCCATTATTGTCATTGACAGTGTATGCCCTCTAGGACAACGTCCTTTACTATCCTGCCCTCTTTCATCTGACTCTATTCTGCATCTGCATAGCTGTATTTTTATTAAACCACCCAAGTTCTTGACATCAATCGCTGAATTTTTTTCCTTTGTATCCTAATAAGCACAGGTTGCCTGCTTTATGTATTGCATTCTTGAACTCCTCAATTTTTTCCCTTTATATCTAGAATGCAGGTGCACTCAAACATAATAAAACCCAAGTACGTATGTGGAATAATTGCCTATGTTGAAAAGTTGTTACATTCTCTTGGAAATCTCATGCAAATGTTTACTGGCACTGTGGTATGCCTATCTTGAAGACTACTGTCACTTTCTACGTGTAAATTGCTGGACTGCAGCCCTGCAAGCATGCCTCACCAGACCATTTTACAACATTCACTTTATACATTGTTTGAAGTAATCATGCAGATTAAATATGTAACTGTTATGGCAGATGCTGTCAAACAGTTAATTGAATCTGAGTATAGTCAACTGTAGCACATATGTATATAATTCATTTTAATTTTTTATGCTAATATTAAAGCAATGCCTGTCTTGGTAAATGATAGATAAATGTGCTAAAATATCTATTTCTATCTGCTATGAGAACAGTTTTAATCTTGGTAGCATTATTGTGTCACTGGAATCAATCATGAAGAGTATGGGGGCATTGCTGATTAGCTTATCAACTCTTGTATTGAATTACCTAGAGTATATTGACTATTAGTCTCTTCGAATCCAATATCTAGGTTACTGTTGTATTAGCTACATGCTCGCTTCCTAATTTTTGGGTAATCTATCATTTCATTATCATGAACATGTTTATATTGTGTGACTTGTAGCTACTTTTAATTGTAGGTTTCAGTTAATTCATGCACGCAAAAATATGCATCTCTGTCCTAACACAGTAAACGACACAATGCCTAGCTGGTGCATTTGTATCAAAGCTCTTCACTGGAGACTTTGATACTGCGATGCATTCTTTCTTTTGCTTTTTTTTTAATTGTATTGTAACAGCATTGCATTTTAGAACAGATCTCCTAGGCGCCTATTCCTGCACCGAATGGCGTCGCCGTTGCTATTGCTAGTGCTCTCTGTTGGTGGCAACAACAACAATGAAGACATCAGAAAGGGAGCCGATGGAGATTCAAAAAACTAAATAAGAAAAAAAAGAGAACACCCAGGATTAAAAAATTGGTGTTCTCTGCAAGGCATTTTATTCTACCCCACTGATGCTTGAAACTCGCTTGCAAAAAAACCTGGTATAGGTGTCATGTACATCAGAAAAGGAATCGCGTTAACCAATGTGATATGACGTGACGGAACAGTGAAATAACAACCAGTCATCACACAATGCTAATTTCGCAATGAATGTGTTTAATGCCTCCTACCAACTGCTTTGTCCTCGGCCATATGCAGCATCAACAAATAGCTCATAATACCTTACAGAAGGGTAGCGAAAGCGTCGCGTGTCTGAAGAAAAATGATTAATTGCGTGGTGGGTGCTATTTTACTTCACAAAAAGTTATGATTTATGGCGTAGTCGATACCTTGCTGGATAGCTAAAACTGCGAAGACAGTTTGCCTTGCCCCAACACGATAATACCTTCCGAGTTCGCATTAAGTGATGCACTCAACCTCCATATATCGAATCTGTATATACTGAAATACCAGTTATAATGAAGTAAATGAAAAATAGTCTTGTAATAGTATTAGGAATTAACTTCTATAACAAATTTCCAGATCTAACAAACTTAATTTCGTGTAATATGCAACTATGTTAGAATGAGGTTTGAGTGTATTGTAATCATTGATTTTTTATATACTTGTCACTTGGTTCAGTTAGTGCAACTTTTGACTAGAGCTATCTATTAGAGCAAGCTGTGAATGTTTAACTGTCGTGTTTACTCCATGACATGCAGACCAAATGCCAGCAGTACTGGCCCTCTGATGGAGAGCTTATGTGCGACTACGTCAAGGTCAAGTTTGTGTCTCAAGACAATGGCAACTACTTCATCAAACGCGAGTTTGACGTCATCAATGTAAAGGTAATGCCAAACCTGGATTGCATGACTGCTTGTATTTTAATTATGTCCATTGTTACAGTGATCTGTCATTGTACAGCATGCAACGATGTTATGGATGTTGTTAAAAAGCAAGAAAGTAAATATGTATTCTGTGATATGCGTAATAGGAAAGCAATTGACTCGAAACTTTCTGTTGTGCAGTATATGTAGTCTTGTTTTTAGCATTGAAATTACGATGTGTGCTGAAATTTTTATTATGTTTTGAAATTTTCAGTTTAGTCAAGATTTCTTGAGAGTACTTTTGATTGTGTTGCAACCTGCAGTATCGCTGAGCTAATCAAATTTTTTTGTTTGTTTTGTATGTTCTTGCAGGGGCCAAATAATTTACTTCACCTGAAATTTATTTTCTTATCACACTTATTACAAACTATGCCAACATGAAAGTTCATTCATTCATTAACGTTCTTTAGTAAGTTTTATGGCACCACTGCACAATTTTATCAAGTAGCACACCTATTATGAAAACTCCTTTGTTATGGATGATAATTATTATAACTGTATCTGTTACATGCCGATACCACATGAAAGTTCATTTTGCTTTGAAGTCTATGACGATTTCTTCCATTAATGTTGATAATGCGAAAGTGTGACTGTATCAAGAAATGTAGACATCTTGCCAGAACCGACTGTATTTCATGTACAGTAACTATTTCAAGCAAAGTATTCTCACAACATTCCTACATACCTGAGAAAGTTACCTGGTGTAAGTTGATGTCTGAAGGAATTAAGGTACCAGTGATGCATACTGTCATCGTAAAAATGCATTTAGGCATAATATAGTATGTTCACTCTTTCTGTGATCACTTCACCCTCTACATCCAACCAGAAACATAATGCTTCCTGCAAAATATGAGCCAGATATTGCACTGCTTTCTGCGGCAATTCACAATATCACATCAAAGTCGGTAGACTCTCAGCAGACAGAAAACTGTCAAATGAAGCAGTTGCTTAAATGAAACAGCTACTTCTGATATGGTTCGTTTCTTGCCTGAATGTTCATCTCTTAGAACCCCTGTTCATCTCTTAGTAAACAGTGCTCCTTTTAAACAGGGCATATTTTTTTCGTCCCTTCAGGTTCCGTTTAATGAAAGTCCACTGTACAGGGAGAAAGAATGGCAAAAGTCTTTTTGTTATTTAAAAATCTATATCATTGCTGGCGGAAGCAAGTGGGGATCGCAGGTGTTGGCTGATTTCATGAATTTTATGCCAGTATACATTCTCGGAGCTTACATGTTGTCAGTTGTCAAAGGGGAGAGAAAATTCTAGACACCACGACGCCCAGAAACGTAACTTTCAAGCTGCGCATCACAACTTGTTACTGCTGTTTATGCATTCTTTTGAAGATGAAAAAAAAAGTACCAATTGGTGTTGATAATTCCATTTAAATTTGACAAATTGGAAAAATGTTTGTGCAAGAAGATTTCTTAAGGAAACAGTGTTTGCATGTTAACTTTGAAAGGTGATGCAGGGCCCCTTTAAGCTCTGTGCAAGAAATCTTAATCTTCAGTATATATGTTGTCAGTTATTGCTTTGTTCCCACTAGATGAGTATGCACAGGTACACTAGCACAACTTGAATAAAGTGGTTGCATTAGAAGAGTGTTTGAAACAATGTGCCTTTAGTTTTTTTTTTTTTTTTTTTGAGAAAAATGTTGTATTCTTTACAGTCTGGGGACATCCATCGTACAACACAATTCCAGTACCTGGGCTGGGTTGGGCAGCCAGTCATAGACGCTGACAGCACAGCGAGCATCATTGCCCTAATCGAGTGTGCCCAGCAGTGCCAAGCGCTACGTCCAAGTGGTGGCCCTGTCACGGTACACTGCAGGTGCGTCTCATGTGCTGTATTTGTGCAGTGCTTTTCCTGACTCCAGATTGCATCCTGAATGTACAACTGGCTCTTCCAACCATGAATGTTGGTAGGATTTCATCTTATGGGGTAGGGGGGGTGCAAAGCTATGCTACGTCGCTACTGGGTAAAGGTGACGGTGCGCCAGAGCATTGCAAAAGGGGCAAGTGCCGCTTTGGCACCCCATGCTTCCAATTATTATATATCTCTGGCTTACTTGTTTGCACAGTGGCATGAAGAATGCAGCGTGGAATACATGCCAAATTGCTTGTCTCTTTAATGACATTTGTAATGTGACTGAAACAAACATCTTTATTCTATCAATTTTAGTCTCTCTATAAGTACAGTACAGCCAAGTACAGTAAATTTAGGTTGAGATGTGAGCCTTAGCTATTCTCTGAAATGCATTTTTAGAAATTTCATTGAAGCAGCCAGATAATCTCACATATAGGCTAATTATTAATCAAAACAAATATGCATGACCTTGATGCACACTTTTATATCAAGTTTGAACATGTGCCTTCTGTTTGCCAGTACCATTTCTATTCTATTTCTTTCAGGCACTGCATTGAACTATACTAAAGTGCTTATTTGTGCCGATCGGTACATGGTCAACGAAGCGAAAAGCAGTGCCGAAACACAAGACAGTGAAAGCTTCATCAGTCTCTTGCACTGTCTTGTGTTTTCATGTTGTTTTTCACTTCGTTGAGCATTGCACCAAACCATGATGTTCGGGGGCATAAGTTGCATGCCATTCGCCACCATTTTCTGTCTCATTTAGTGTAAGAACCAGCGGAGCAGCCCAACAAGTTGTGGTCTTGCACCAACTCTATTGTTTTCAGTTTTTGTGTAGGTGACACTAGTGCTACTATATTATGTGCTATAGAATAATTAGGTGCATCAACTGTGAATGAATAAGGTATCCTGGGATAAAGTATCCAGACACTCATGGGTTCAACTTTTTCCTGTGTTCACGTACAGTACCGAATTGACAATTAAGTGTGTTTTGACGTTATTACATAATATTTAAGTATCATCATCATCAGCCTGACAACATCCACTGCAGAACAAAGGCCTCTCCCATGTTCCGCCTGTTAACTCGATCCTGTGCTTGCTGCTGCCAATTTATACCTGCAAACTTCTTAATCTCATCTGCCCACCTAACCTTCTTTCTCACTCTAACCCGCTTGCCTTCTCTGGGAATCCAGTTAGTTCCAGTTAGTTACCCTTCACGTGTAAGTATAGTAATTTTTAAAACATACCTTATTGTGCTGCTTACATTTCGAATCGCACTGCTATACAAATGTTGCTGGTATTATTTCCCACTTCATTTCAAAACAACAAAAAATGTCGCAGCGTATCCATGCAGTGAATAACAATAAATGGGCAAAGCTCTGGAGGTACAGATAAATGTTCACAAAGCGATAACAAGGTGTTCTAAGCAGATGAACAGCAATATCGTCTTCATCCTCAAACAGCCAGAGGCTCACTACGTACGCTAAATCCCTTCATCGTCGTTTTTGTCCACATGTATACACGTGCATCATTTGTCGATCTCCCTCTCAAAAAGCATTGCCCCAATGCCAAATAAGTAGTGCAGATCTTTTTGTTTTTAAGTCTTGCGCAATCGCTCGCTGACATGGGTTCATGCTCACGACATGAACGAGTTCAGAACGGTGCTTTTGATTCCTCACACTATACAAACTGTCTGAAATGACCTCGCAATTAACATCACTCAGTCGTTGCAGTACTAGATATGGTACAAAGTATCTACTTAACAGCGTTTGGAAGAGTCATTTTCGTATGGGCATTCAAACCCTTACTCTGTCACTGGTTTGGTGAACGACTATTCTGCGGTGAGCACTGTAGCGGCCTGCATCAAACTCTTGCTGCTGGCAGATCCGTAAGCATGCAAGTTGCCTAGCTTGTTCCGCGCATTCTGTAAACATCTCGTCATCCGAGTCAATGTCGTCACATTCGCGCGGTAGCATTGCATCTAGCATAGTTCGTACTTCCCGTCTATGAACAAGACTGAATGGGGTCATGCGAGGCTGAATGGGGTCATGCAAGGCTGAATGGGGTCATGCGGCTTGTTTCTTGCTTGGCCATGGTGTATGCAAGAGTGATGTAAGCCAAGATTTTGTACATCTTTCAATGTACGTCTACATACATTGAAAGCACGTCTTCGATTGTTCTGTTTAAACGCTCTGTCAGCCCGTTCGTTTGAGGGTGGTAGGCAGTGGCCTTACGGTTTGTTGTTCCGCTCCGCATCAAGACATGATCCTAAAGAGCTGCCGTAAATGTGGTTTCTCTGTCTGTGATCAGGACAGTTAGTGCACCATGCCTCAGTACAACACTCTCGATGAAAAATTGTGCAATGTAACCTGCTGTACCTCTCTGGATAACGGGTAAGATAATCAGGCACGACGATAACCCAGCATTTTCCGGCAGTAGATGTAGGAAGTGGGCCTGAGAATTTGGGCCTGATCATACCACAATGTACACATAACGTAATTTCATTCATAAATGGCAGCTTTGGGCTCTAGCTGTCGCCTGTCACACTAGCACACATCGGCGTGAGCACATTCATTCAATCAGTGCAGATGCGCCATCTAGTGGTCTTCTATCACATTAAAACACGTCTCTCACATATCAGTGGAGCAAGTTCCGCAGTGCCACTTAATTAGCACTCCGTGTACTAGAAGTGGCTACTACGATGGATGACGAGGAACTAGCTTACACCCTAAGGATTTTCACTCCTAAAATGTCGCTATCACACATACCTAGTTTTAATTTTTAAAGATATTGCCCAAGTTAGTGCGGGGTCATGACACAAATTATACTTTTTTTTAATATGTGACACGTACTATTTGAACTATACGACTTAAAATTCAATCAAAAAAACTATTCACTTCAAATTAACTTCGAACCTTAAACTTGCTGTTCGTCCGTCCCAAGTGATACATTGTCAGCGAGTCTAATTGTGTGCTTGACTCATTGCCATTTTTTTCCACATTGCAGTGGTGGTGGCGACAGGAGCAGTGTGTTTGTGACGCTGAGTGTGTTGATACAACAGCTCAAAGCCGAGGAGAGGGTGGATGTTTTTCAAGCAGCACGCTACACTCGTTCCCAGAGGCACTGTATGCTACAGACACCTGTGAGTCAAGATCTTTTATGAATAATTAAAATATGTTTGAATTTGAAGTCTTAATTTGCACTGATTGATATTTCGAAGCAAATTCTCAAGAGATAATCAGGGTGCACTATTGTAAAATGTTTCACAGACAGCCGGTGTCATAAAAATTGAGTACAGGTTGTGTGCAGCTTTGTTTTAAGTTGTAATTCCCAATATAACTGGAATTTTTCTCTTTATTGTTTGCTTGGAAAAAAAAGAAAAAAAAGAAAAAAAAAGCTATTGCATAGCTACCGTATTTACTCGATTCTACCGCGCCCTCGATTGTAACGCGCACTCGGTTTTCACGATGAAAAAAAAAAGGTAAGACATCCATTGCAATGCGCACCCATTTTTCTTGTTGGCCCGCACAATCGCACTACTCGGGAATACGACTCCTTTCGGGAGCGTCTTCCACTTAAATATGAGTTACGGGGGAAGCTTGTGCCTATCTGACGTGCAACGGAACATTGCCGTCACTCTTGTTTTACTGTGGCCCGATGTCAGCATGCGAACTTGCTTCGCCCCCTTCTTTTCGACGGTTGTGGTGCCAGGCATGTCGAAGTAAAGAGGCGTCTGATCGGCATTCCGATTTGCCCAAGCAGGCAGCCGTTGTTGTGCCGCAAGTTTAGGACGAACCTCTGAAAACTATGAAGCTTTTCTTCGTACTCCTCCGGCAAGTTTTGGCCCATGCCCGTTCGCTTTCGGAGGGAAAAGCCTTTCCTCTTCATAAAGTTAGTTAGCCAGCACCTTCTCACTTAGAACTGGCTCCGCGATAGCCCTTTTTCTAAAGCTAACTGCATAGCCCGCACTTAGAGCAGTTCTGTCGTCACGGGCCGCTGTGCCGCTCGCTGCTCAAGCACATACTCAGCGAGCAGCTCTTCAATTTGCAAAAACCGACCCTGCTGTGGTCCACTGAAGCCATTGCGTGAATCTTTGCTGTCGACAATCTTCTGCTTTTGTTTCCGCCAGTCCCGCACCCACGTTTCGGGAACTCCAAACGACCGCGATGCGGCCCGATTTCCGTCTGTTTCAGCACACGCGATGACTTTTCTTTTAAAAGCGGCATCGTGGTGCCGCTTTTACACACAGGCAGAAATGGCCGACGCGCCATGCCGAAGCATGTAGGGGCGGCCATTTCGGAAATGCCGATGGCAATAGAAGGATCGTATTCATTTTTTTTTCGCACTCGATTTTAATGCGCATGCGACTTACGAACTCGCTTAACCGGAAAAAAGGTGCGCGTTAGATTCGAGTAATTACGGTAATTGTCAGTGATCTGAAAGAGACAGATCTGTTTTGCTGCCTGTGATAAGCGGGAAGTGCTGATGTGCAAATCAAATAATTATGTGCAGGGTGTCAAGTGGGATGCAGATCGGGAAATAACTTCATCTGGTTGCATAATATTATAGAAATGAAAGCACAGGTTCTTAAAGTAGGATGGAGGAAATGCAGGTTGCCATATTTAGTTAAGCTGCTAACTTTGACTTCAAAACCTTCCACACTGTCAAAAAAATAGGAGGTGCCCTATGCACCAGGTGATTACGAGCGCATTTGTGATAGTTTATTCCATGTAGCTGAATAAAGGCCTTCCCTTCTAAATATACACTGTGTTTTTACGTAGTCTAGCTGGAAATATTCATTACACGAGGTGTTAGGTACTTCACATGTCAACTGACAAATTTGAATGAACATAAATATCCACAACACATTAATACACATAAGTGAAACAATACTTCAACAAAGCATCTACAAATCTACAAAAGTGTAATGAAGGTAGTGGACAGGAGGCTTGATTAAGAGGGAAGAGAGAGACGTGTGATCACTGCTCCTTCACTCCTGCCTCTAGATAGCCCTTGTAGCAGGCAAACCAGTGTTCAACTGTGACAACTATCATTAGAACAATTCTGTTTCAACTGGTGGAGTTTCGGGATTTTAAGGCCTTGTTTTTCATCGTTATACACAACCTTAATGAAAAATATAACGAACAATGAAGCCAAGGAAGGTATGGAGGTACGTTATTTTAGTCTTTTGACTTTATTGCAGTAAATATGATTAAATGTGAAGAAAAAAAAAGTGAACAGCAACTTTCCCTGACCAGAGACGAAACCTTAAACCTTAGGATAATATGCCCGATGATTTACCAACTGAGCTTCAGTGCTGACTAATACTCCCAGGTTTGTATGTACAGAAATACCTGCTAATGTGCACAGGATGATGACTGACACTGTAGCTCAATTGGTAGAGTATTGAGTATGGTATCCGATAGTTGCAGGTTTCTCCCTTTCAATGAGTTGTCTTTTCTTCCGCTTTAATTTCTTCAGTGTATATTACATTCACTGTAATACAGTTAAGAAACTGCAATAACGTCCCCTATACCTTCCTTAGCTACATTTTTTGTTGGTTTTTATTGAATTACAGTTAAGCCCCTTTATATAAGGCACGCTATGAGCAACAATTGTCTTTTATATTATAAGATGTCTCTTGTGAGCAGGGCACCTCATATGCATTTTCTTATCAACTCGTGTTTTACTGTAGGCATACTAGCGTCTCTTATACCCATTGTATCTTATATCAGTATCTCTTATAAAGGGGTTCGACTGTACTAAATGTAAATGTCAAACCTAAGTGTAAATCGATCTCGCACTTCACCTCGAGTGCCCTGTGTTTTGCAGAACCAATACGAGTTTCTCTACCGTGGCCTGCTGACATACATCGAGTCGCACAATCTTTGCAACATGGGCGACACTCAGCTATGAGGGCTACACATGCTAGGATGTTCCAAGGTCCACCTTCACCATGAGGCACGCACCAGCAACTGTGACTGCGAGCCACATGTGCACGCGCCTCGCCCAAAGGGCATGCCCCTACCGCGGCACTGAGGCCAACTTCCGACCAGCTGGACTGGTGCTGGAAGAAAGGTGGCTTTTTTTTTTTTTTCAGTTGTTGTAGGCTGCCGACAAGCAAGACACGCACGTCAGGACAGGAACTCGGAAGTGCGCGTTTTATTAGTTTTTTTTATGACAGTGTCGACAAAGGGAAAGTGGACAAACAACTCGCTTACGAAGAAGCCAATAACATAGTGCAAGTGTTGAAATGCAGTACACGAGTCTCTCCTGCCTTGGTAAGGCATTGGAGACAAAAGAATATGCTTGCTGCGAGACCTTGCAGCCCCTTTTTTTCTTCAGTTGCACAAGCTGAAGACATCTTGAGGCTTCTGCAAGAACACTTCTTTAAAAAAAATGGCAAGCAGAAGATGCCATCACTTCTGAACTACACTTCTGTTGTGCTCTGCCAGTCGTCCATGTTCCGATTTGTTTCGTCACAGGTGGAGTGCTTTATGAGTGGGTATTGTGATAGTCAACTGTTTGCATTAGTCTTGCAGTGAGTCACTGAAGCCATCTGTAACTTTGGTGCCCATAGGAACAGTGTTTTTTTAGGAAAATGCTTACAAGCTCTTCGAAGTGTGCATCCTAAAGACTGTGGTCACACAGGAGCACCCACACTGGCAGCACTTGGGAGCAGTGCTGTTTCGGCCTTGTGTATTCTCATGGCGTCCAAATGGCTTGAGAGCACCTTCCATCCTGAATGCTTCAAACAAAATGACAATGCAGTGTTTAGGTGGACTATGACCGACTTCCCCATGAGCTGTCTGTGCCCTGAAAACTCTGCTCATAGGCCCACGACAAAATATTTGCAGCCTAGGTTGCACCTTTGGCTGTAGAGCTTGGGCTAGGTTTCTAGCTGACCTAGTTCAGGTTGTGTTGGCTCTGCCTGGGTCAAGCCTTAGGTGATGTTACTGTCAAGGTCACGGTTTGTTTTTGTGGACACTCGCATAATATTATACAAGACAACAAAAGGCAGGAACACGGAACAGTTTTTGCTACATTTTTGTTACGCCTGTCCGAGTTAATTTTTTATTCTAATCCAGAACCCACGTAAATGTATTTTATAAAAATGCAAGTTCACGTGAATGTGTTTCAGCATGGACAATTGTAATAACTATGTGTTAAGTGAGCTCATAATTACTTTGATGTTTCGGCCTCTCAGTGTGAGCATTTTTTTTTCATTGTCTCAATGGCAATTGAAGCTTTGTAATTTTACTTGTGTTGTGAAAGCATTTAATTTTACATTTTCTAATTTTTTATATACTGCAAACCAGGAATCATGGTTTGCCTGTGGAACAGGGAAACGTTGATTTCACATGTGCTCTTTTTTTTTTGTCGTTTTGTAGATTACCATATGCCATCACACAGCTTTTATCTTTCTTTAGAGCTTAATGCTGGTTGCAAGACATCACTAAATACGGCTTCACAAAGTTATATTAGCAATCAGTCACATACTATTAAGTGGAAGATCTGGTGTTCCTTTTCGAGGTGGACAGATTGGTGCTAGTACTGTACTAGTATCACAATAACTTCTATTTATTTCTGCATATTAGATAGATGCCATTCTGAATTTATATGATGAAGGTGAAATTCAATTTTTCATTTCAATTTGTCTTCTTGCTGTGGTAAGTTTGACTTTTTTTTTTGGTAAGGAATATCGTTATGGTCACTGATACAACATTTGCCCGTTGCATTGCGTAAAATCTAGTGTTATCCAGCGCCTGCAAGTCCAAGAAGTGTATACTTTGCAAAAACAGGCATTTTAGTGTATGCGTATTTCACAAATGAGAACACACTTGTTTTTATGAGCAAACATGACTTACTCACGCCGTGAGCCAGCGTGGGCAAGCTCTTCAATATCCTAGGCAAAGTTGTACTAGTCACATGCTTTTTCGAGATCAACTTTCAGTCCTGGCTTTTTGTTAAGGGATTGTCTCTCAATCTTTGCATTGTTATACAGGTTCATGAAGTTTGTACATTTTGCTGGGAGACAAGCAATGCCATATTTCTTCAATCGTTGCACTGATTTCATGTACACGGTATGCATTTGTGTTTTGGTTTAATGTTTGCAATGTGTTCTCTTAACAACTTAAGATCCTGCTGGTGGGCTAGTTGGTTTCTCATGATAGCACACAACAGAATGACTAATGGAAATGAACATACTGATGGACAAACATAAGCGCTGAACTTCAGTTGTAGTTTATCGCTGGTGGACGAGCTCAAATATGTGCTTCTGTGAATTCATTGTGTCGCTTAAAGAAACACCAAGAAGAATCGGGTGCACAGATTATAAAATCTAGCCATTTCGCGGTACTCTTCTCGCACACGAATAATACGAAAGATAGGCAAGCCAGCTAACAGTGCCATGTTTTGCTGCACCGACATCTTATTCATCACGTTAGAAAATCGAGGGGCAACTGACTACTTAGCTCCCATAACGTTTTCGCTCAACCTACAAAAACTTGGCTGCAATGTTGATGTGATTTTGTGCTCTCTGCACAGTATGGCTTTCAGCACTTTGAAAAAGAACATTTTCTCTGAAAATCAATGGAAGTGTATTTAATTCATCAAAAGAGAACTTATGGCACCTGCATGAGTGTGTTTTACTCTGGGAAAATATGTTCCATTGAACAGGAGTTCCGTTTACTCAGAGGTGAACATGAGTGCAGAATACAAGCCCGAAACCAAGCATTGTAGAGAAAATAGTTCCGTTTAAGCAGTAGTTCTGTTTAGCAGATTTCCGTTTACTGAGAGTCTACTGTATAAAATGCCCAAAGACCACGACTATCGCTGCTCTTGGTAAAATAATGGCCACACTGTCTTCTGTTTCATGGATTGTCGCCTAAGTATTAAATGAGGTGTCATGCAAACGAAAAAGCATATCAGTGCCATGTTTTGCTGCACCGAAGCAGTGTAGATTTTAAAATGAGAGAAAAGTTTCTCACCAGTTGCCCCTTGGTTGCCCAATCTGACTCGAGAAAAGACTTTTCTGCAACATGTGTCATTGTTAAATTACTCTCATAGCTTCCATTTCTGCTGGTGCAGCATGATTGCTATTGCATGACTTTATTCTATAAATCTGTGCTTGTGATCTTCTCATTAGGTTTCTCTTTAGGCGATTCAATGCATGCACTGAAGCGAATTTCAGCTTGTTTACTAGCAACAAACAATGCTTCAAGTTCAGTGCTTTTGTTTGTAGATTCTTAGTTTCTGTATCTGTTTCTTCACAACATTGTGGTAGCTTCATGACCACTTAAGTAAGTTGTGGTTAGTTCACAAAAATAATAATGTTGAGCTAGTCTTACCTGTGAAACAGCATTGCCTGGTTCTTTTCACAATTTTACTTCAAGACCCTCCAGTTAAGGTGGTTACTTTAAGCTCTTTTGAGGAACGCATTGAGTCAAGGCTTAATTTATCTCGGGGCATTTAATGCCTGCAAAATATTGACAACTATCTTATACATTGTGCCCTTTTAAATTAAGTCTTCTGTTCATAACTAAAAAGAAAGTAAAATGCCTGGAGAATTGTATGCACTTGGCTGCTTCATATACAGTATACACATCTGTATGTATACACCATTTGACACTGACAAGATTGAGGCTACAATGCTTTCGAGAAGTTGTGAGGCTTCAAGAATTGTAGCAAATTAAGCAAGAGCACTGTATTTTCGTTTTGTTTTTTAGAGTTCTTAGCATTCCTCTTGGCATACGACTGAATTAAATTAGCATTGTTATGACCTCTCACTGCACTAATGATGGACGTTCCAAAGAAAGGCCAATCATCTTGACTATAGACATTGCTCATTTCTTTTTCAGCAATGCCAGTACTTCAAACACAATCAGAACTACGCTTTGTATATTTATAACAGTACTATGTCGCAATCTATATTGACGGCTGTTGTGATCTTGGAACTCCTAGAACAAGGTCGTGTTCTTGTTTTTTCAAACCTTACGAATAATAGACAGAGAAAAAAAGCACTAGTTTAACATACACCAGGGCTCAAAATTATTCAGAATATTTTGTGAAATAGTGCTTGCTTTGAATAAATTATTATGCTTGCTTTATTTTTAATTTAGTAGGATTGACCAGCAAGTGTCAAAAGCAATGTTGAACAAAACTTGCCCGCTCTTGATACTGAACACTTGTCCTTGACAATGGCTGTATAAAACGAAATTGCAAAATAGAATGAATGGGTTGTCTAATAAAAATGAGCAAAGTATAATGTCTTCACTTATAAACATAAAAATTTTCAAGTGATAAGAGTTAAGCTGGTAAGTATATCCTTTTTATTTATTTTCACTTTAGCGCTAAAAAGCGGCTAAACCGCGTCTAGGCTCGGAGTACCAAAGAGCAAAAAGCGTATACTTGCTTTCGGCTTTACTGGGTGTCCCACATAACTTGAGCCAAGAATTTGAAAATGAAAGATCACCTCAGTGGCGATTTGAACCAAATGCAAACACTAGCCTGCTGGTACTCGGGCAATTTTTAATTTATTCCCATGCTAATAAATCAATAATTCTTAATTACTTTTTAAAATTATGGGCGGGTAACCCAGAATATGAACACTGATATGTAGAGCACTTTCATAAACCACCAACGAAATTGTTTCCTGTACACTACGTCTAGCGCTGCGATCTTTTCCGTGTTGTAAAGAAATTTAGCCTATAGCAGCACTATAGCAGTGCGTTAGCAGTCCGTCGCACGGCTTCTTTTCACATTTCGTGGGTTTTCTTTCATATTTCGCGGGTTTCCTGAACTGGCCAAATTGCCTGGTTCCAAAGAGAACGAGTGTCCCCGCTGTGGTTCAACCACTCATCGTTGGTGGCGCTATCTGTGACATGTTCCAATAACAGTGACATCAGTGGTCTACAGGCTGGCGATGCAGATTATAAAGAAAAGACTGCAGGCGTGGATAGAGGATGAGGGGGTGCTGGGGGAACTGCAGAATGGGTTTCGGAAACACAGGAGGTTGGAAGACAATGTGTTCTCACTGACGCAGTCCATCGAAATAGCAGAAAAGGAACACAGGCCCCTGTGGCTAGCATTTTTGGATATCAAGGGAGCGTGCGATAGCGTGGTTCAAGAGGAATTGTGGGGAATACTGGACACACTAGGCGTGGAACATGTAGTCACTAATCTTTTAAAGGGTATCTATAAAGGTAACAAGGTAGTTATAAAGTGGGAAAAACAGGAATCCAAGCCTGCAGAGGTAAAACGGGGGCTTAGGCAAGGGTGCCCCTTGTCACCCTTATTATTCATGATGTACCTACAAGGATTAGAGGCAAAATTAGAGAGAAGTGGACTGGGCTTCAACCTCTTTTTAGTCAAACAAGGAAAACTTATTGATCAGGCACTACCAGCATTAATGTACGCAGATGATATAGTGCTAATGGCCAACAACAAGGAAGATTTGCAGAGATTGATGGACATCTGCGGTAATGAGGGAGATAGGTTAGATTTCAGATTCAGTAAGAAAAAATCAGCAGTCATGATTTTCAATGACAACGAAGGTAGTGAGCTTAGAATACAGGAGATCACGCTAGAGATAACAGATAAACATAAATATCTGGGCGTATGGATAAGCAATGGGACCGAATATCTGAGGGAACACGAAATATACGTGACGACTAAAGGTAACAGGAATGCAGCAGTCATGAAAAATAGGGCACTGTGGAATTACAATAGGTATGATGTTGTGAGAGGAATATGGAAAGGGGTCATGGTTCCTGGGCTGACGTTCGGCAATGCGGTCTTGTGCATGAGATCAGAAGTTCAAGCAAGATTAGAAATTAAGCAACGTGGAATAGGTAGGCTTGCTTTAGGAGCTCACGGGAATACACCAAATCAGGGAGTACAAGGTGATATGGGATGGACATCATTTGAGGGCCGGGAAGCTAGCAGCAAGATAAAATTTGAGAAGCGATTGAGAGAAATGGGGGAAGAGCGTTGGGCTAGGAAGGTTTTCAGCTACTTGTACATGAAGAATGTCGATACAAAATGGAGGAAGCGAACCAGGAAGTTGACTGGTAAATACTTAGAAAACAGCAGGTGGCCAAACCAAAAAGAACTATCGGTTAAGAAGAAAGTGAAGGAAACGGAGACTGACATGTGGAGAATGGGCATGATTAAGAAGTCAGCACTAGAGGTCTATCGAACGTTTAAGCAGGAAATTGCCAAGGAAAGGATCTATGATAATACACGGGGTAGTTCTCTACTGTTTGAGGCCAGAACGGGAGTACTGCGAACCAAGACATATCGGGCCAAATACGAAGAGTAGACACAGTATGCAGTGCGTGTGGAGAGGAAGAAGAAACTGCCGAACACTTGATAATGTTCTGTAAAGGGCTTCACCCTATAGTTCAGGATGATGGCGCAGAGTTTTTCAAAGCACTGGGGTTTAGGGACCGGGAGGGCAAAATAAACTTTAAGCGGGTAGACTTAACTAGAAGGAGGTTATCTGATTGGTGGCTAAAGTCAAGGCGCGAGTGAAAATTAAACTCTTTACTGCAAAGTACGAATCCTCAAACTCTTTTTAAGGAAAAAAAAATAAAATATAGTTTTTAGTTCATTAGATATTACGGCTTGGTGGCGCTAGCCACCGCCCGATCTGAAGGGTACAGCCATATTCATCCATTCATTCATCCATCGTCTGCTATGTTACGGCGGTTTGGACGGCGCCAGAGTAAGAACAGCTGCGCTCTGGGATAAACGGCCTGACTATATTTGATTATTTAGTCACTTAGATGACTGGTCAAGTACGCCGTGCGGTTATATAATTATTCCACACTTGTTGACAAACGTAGGAACACGTAGATTTATAGAATGAAGGATGGCCTATGTGAGGTCACGTCCTTTGTAATGCAAAGAATTCTTGATGACTGAATTCTGAATATATCTATATATCTGACTTGTTTTTATTTGTGAATAATAATAATGCACTATGAGAGCTCTGTTGGCCAAAATGGGACCACGAACGCTCAAGGAGACGTCAGCGAACAGGTGTTGACTAGCGCCACACCGCCCGTAGGTTACGGCTCTAGCGGCAGAAGGTAAAACTAGACGTGGGCGCTCGAGAAGGGCTGCCTGGGCAGGTCAGGAGCCGAGTAGGTCGTGACCATGAAGACCGCTTCCCAGCTGGAAGTTCCCCTGGTTGGTTCGCTTCTCCGCAATGAGCAAGGAAAACAAATCGAAAACTTGATGCTCGTATAAACCCCGATATGCCCAATTTTCGTCCTAAAGAACACTATGCGTTCTGGGAGTTAACCACGAACTTGGTTCGGCTTCTTGGAGCGACAGGTTCCGGATAAGTGTAAGCTCTTTTTAAACTTCGCGCCACCGCACCCATACTGCGCTACACTGCAGGTGGTTGGTTTCTCGTCATAACAGACCGTGGGAAAAAATGTTTGCCCATTTCTGACACCTTTGGACGAAAAATGAACAAGGCAGTATCGCGTAGTTTGAGCTTCCCGCTGGCATGTCGGCTGTGCGGAAATTTACACAAAACAGTTCATCAAGATAAGGGGCATTTAGAGTTGATTTAATTAAAAGTACTGTACTCATAACTGCAAAGAATGATTAAGGCTATACCAATAACATACACATTGTATATTCTTTGCGTAAGCTTGCTGTACATTGGCTTACACCCGGCACCACCCAGAGGTCGCTTTGTGAGGGCTATATATAGCCGATTGCGAGTGTATACCTTTTATCACCTTTCACTTTGCACTTTGAAACGTGCCAAAAACGCGTTAGGCTTAGCGTCAGAGAACGAAGCAATAAAAAGACAATACTTGCTTTCGGCTATATATATATACCCCGGCCTAAGCGACCTCCAAGCGGCCCCGGTTGCGTCAGTCGCGGACGCACGCTATACGCAGTAAGGACACAAGGTTTACCTCAATGGGTTCGGCATACATGATCTATGCTATAACAAGCGTAGTATTTTAATTCAAACAAACCTCTATGTCTTCCGTTTCCGGGTGTTTCCGGCAATATGAGCCCACCAATGTTTGTGATCGTTTCCATAAATACGCCCTACTTGTACTTCTGACCTGTCCAGATGCCCGTTTCTGGCTTTTTTGCCCGTTTCTGGCTCCTTTCGATGAAAAAAGAACAAGATAGCGTTGTGCAGTTTGGATTTTCCGCTTTCAAGCCCAATCAACGGAGATTCACACAGTGAAATTAATCAATATATAGGGACCCTGCAGAGGTGTGTTTCATTAAAGGTAGTGTGCTGATAATTGCGTTGTATAACAGCGGCTAGGCCGTTATCATGCTCCTCGTATATTCTTTGCGTGAGCTTGCTCTACATATGCTTAAATCCGGCACCAGCCGGAGGTATCTTTGTGAGGGCTATATATAGCCATAGCCTCCTTTATTTTCTGTGCCTGCGCTTTGCCGCCGGGATCAAAGGGAGCCGACCGTCAGGCTGAGTTCCCGCAATCACCACCAGGCGGCGCTGTCTTCCCAGAACCGGAATGGCTTCAGGCCAGGCAGACGTCTGGATGACAATCTGTTCGTCGTCACACAGTGTGCAGAAATAGCTCGCAGGGAAGGGAGAACGCTGTTGTGCTGCTTCCTCGATGTTGAAAAAGCGTACGATAGCGTGCCGCACGGTCCTCTCTTTGCATGCCTGTCTGACCTTGGACTGCCCCGGCTGCTAATCTCCACTATACAACGGTTGTACAGTGACAATGTAGTGAGTGTGCAGTTGGGTGCCATAACTACTGGCCCAATTCATGTAAATAAGGGTCTGAGGCAGGGCTGCCCACTGTCACCATTGCTGTACATTCTATACGCATCCAGAATAGAGCGGGCCTTGTTGAACTCCAACCTCGGATTCAGCATGCGTTTCAGCACAACTAGTGCTGAAGAGAACTTCCACCTGCCTGGTTTGGCATTTGCAGATGATCTGGTGGTTATGGCAGAGAGTAACCAGGAGTTGCAATCCCTCCTCGACATCTGCCAGACGGAACTCGCGAGTCTTGGACTTCGATTCAACACTAAGAAATCGGCGGTTGTCCGTCTAACTGGAGGGAGTACTGATGCAGCAGCGTTGACTTTAGGAGGAGAACTGCTGGCCACACGCAACGATTACAGATACCTGGGCGTCACCCTGTGTGTGGATGCAGCAAAATATAGTCTACACGAGACTGTGATTCGACAGACTGCGTTGCAGGCTCAACGAATCCTTCGTCGCCGATGCCTATGGGGTTGCAACCG